TCATCACCTGCGACCGGGATGACAAGATACGCGTCACGAACTATCCCGCCACCTTCGACATACACAGCTACTGCTTGGGTCACCGCGAGTTTGTGTCCGGTCTGGCCCTGCTCACGGATCAGCATATAGCCTCCGCCTCGGGCGACAAGACGCTGCGCGTCTGGAACTACATCCAGGGCAAGGAGCTGTTGCTGCACGAGCTGCCGGCCCCAGCGGTTCGTCTGCTGGTGCGACCACTGGAGCCGGAGAACGTCTTTCAGGCGGCCGTGCTCTTCTACGACCATGTGGACGCCCTGGGACTGTACCGCTTGGAGCGCAGCTCCGACGAATCCTGGAGCATCACGGCCACGCAACTGGTGCGCGCCGAGGCTGGCTCGTGGATCATAAGCAACTTTACTTTAACCGAGAATAGGATTTACATCACCGGCGCGGAGAACGAGCGTTTGAGCTTGAGGGTCTACGACATGGTAACGGGCCAGCGGACGAGCAGCGGCGTGCCCGAGGGCTGGCTGGAGATGGTGCTGGAGAGACTGGGCGCCACCGACAAACATGCTCCACCCTTCATTCCCGAGGATCTGTCCGTTTGGTTCAAGAAGCGCTTCGACAACGTCAGCGACTATCTGGAGCGCAAGAAGCGGCGCATCGAGGAGCAGCAGCAGCAGAAGTGCGGCTAATTCTGGGGATTGGAGAAAGCCCGAACCTAAATGAAATTACATGAACCCTAATCTTTACATAGCATTTAATTAGCATATGGGAGAAGCAACGGACTATGTGTGACAGGCCTGTTGGTTGGACATAATATATATATATCTGTATATGTGTGTGTAGATGAAAAATAGTTAACTCTATGGGCGGTGGCGTGGTGGTGGTGGTTGCTCCTAAACGGGCTTGTAGTCCAGCTTGCTCTCCAACTTCTTGTTGTCTGAGACCTTGCGCACCGCCTTCATAAAGTCCTCCTGGATCACGTACTCCCGTTCGGCACTGTAAGTACATTTCCATCATAGAATCTCATGGAAGACCAAAGAAGAGCTCTTCAACTCACCGAATGGCAAAGAGACCCGCCTCTGTGCACACATTACGCAGATCAGCGCCGTTGAAGTTGTCCGACAGCTTCACAATGGCCTCGTAGTCGATCTCGCCGTGCTTGGCAATCTTCAGGGCGTGAATCTTTAGGATCTCCAACCTAAAAGGAGAGATGTTTCTGGTTAAGTCTTTGCAGAATTCAAAAAATATGAGGTGGAATTAATTTTGCTTCAATTAAGTGGTATCAAGCCAATTTAAAAACCAAAACATAGCAAATTCTTAAGATAAATAAAAATCTTTACACAGGTAAGGCAATAGTTATTCTTACATTCTTTTACATAGGTAAGTTATAAGGCACAACACTGCTTTTATTACCATTTTAGGCATCAGTATGACTAACTAATAAAATAGATTTTATAAGGAAATACCCATTATCATGAGTTCGATTCCCAGAAAATATCTAATCAGAGAAATCCCTTTCAAAAATCTATTCATATTTCATAGTGATTTACCAACCTAGCCTTCCATAGATAAGAACCAAACAAAAAGTTGCCTCACCTGGCCTGCTCGTTGGGCAGTGGGATCTCGATCTTCCTGTCCAGGCGACCCGGTCGCAGCAGGGCAGGATCTAGGGTGTCCGGGCGATTGGTGGCCATGATCATCTTCACCTGGCCGAGCGAATCGAAGCCGTCCATCTGGTTGAGCAGCTCCATCAGTGTGCGCTGGATCTCGCGATCGGCGGAGGTGCCCTCGGAGAAGCGTCGTCCGCCGATGGCGTCGATCTCGTCCATGAAAATGATGCAGGGCTGGTGGTCGCGGGCATAGTTGAACATCTCGCGAATGAGGCGCGCACTCTCGCCGATATACTTGTCCACAATGGCCGAGGACACGACCTTGAGGAAGTTGGCGTCCAGCTGGGAGGCCACAGCACGGGCCAGGAGCGTCTTGCCGGTGCCAGGCGGTCCGTACAGCAGGCAGCCCTTGGGCGGCGTGATGCCGACGCGCAGGAAGAGCTCCGGATTGAGGAGCGGCAGCTCAATGACCTCGCGCAGCTCGCGGATCTGCTCGGTGAGGCCGCCAATGGCCGAGTAGGTCACATCGCCGGGGTCCTCGTGCGACATGTTGTACACCAGGGGATCCACTTCGCGCGGCAAGTACCTCATGATGGTCAGCGTGGTCATGTCGAGGGCCACACGGGTTCCGGACTTGAGCTTCGCCTTGTCCAGCTGCCGGCGGCAACCAACCACATAACGCGGACCATTGGTGGCCTTCACAATGACTGCAAGAAAAGGGAGAAGCAATCAGAATTCGGATGATCCCCTCCAGAAAGCCGGTGGTGTCTCACATTTGTCCTCGGTCAGCTGCTTCAGCACCTCGCCCACGATTTGTCCCACACTCTGCAGAGCCTTCAGATCGTTCTCGGACTTGTCGTACAGCTTGGTCAGCTCCTTGATCTCCTCGCGCTCTGAAAACCACAATTTAATAAGGACTTCCTTGAGTAGATTACTAGTGTGTACGGTCGTACTTTCTTTGAGACGCCCCTCGATCTCCTTGTGCTCCAGCAGCTTCTTCCGGTAGTCGGACAACGCTTTCACCCGCAGATTGTCGGGCAGCGGCGTAGCGGTCACGGTCATTTTGCTCGGAGATTTACGTTTTACTTTTAGCTGCAAATCACTTAAATTAAATCAAGTTCCGAAAAGTATTTTGAGTGAGTTGCAAGTTTTGCTGTTTTAGAGTGACCAGCTAGCAGTTAATCGGGAAATATACGAAAAAGGATGTATTTTTTTGCTGATTGATTGTATTCGATAATTCCAGGGAGTGCTAAACCATTATAATTTTAGAATTTAAATATTTGATTTAAATAATGAAAACATAAATTTATACGAGGAGTAAATAAATATAAATATTAAAAAACAAAATCCAATTGTGTCAAGTCATGTTGTATTATTTCTTAAGCCTAGTTTATTACTATAAGCAATATGTTTGTGGTATAAACTTTTACCGCAATGTTCGAAATATTTGATAAAATTGAATTATTTCAAGTTGTTTTTATTAAAAATTTGGTAAATTCAATCTAAAACATTGCGTTAGAAACCATAATAAAATTAAAATTGGTTTTTTAAGCTCTTTTTTTTATGGCGAATTCCAATTTAAAAAATACCAACAAGAAGTGCCTCTTTCAGTGTGGAGTGTGTCTGGTCACACTGGCAACCGGCAACAATCTTATTGGAATCTGATTATCAAAACCAAAACTCCTGATTATGTATAATTTGCGACTGCTGCGGCATGTCCTGCTGCGGGATTTTCTGCCGGTCGGCGGCGGCCACGCCCCCGCCCACCCTCGCCGGATGTTCAGCCAGCACAAGCGACGCCCCCAGCCGGGCAGACTGCCGCCGGATCGACTGGAGCAGCTGCGCAGCGATCTCTTCGAGCGTCGCCAGGATCTGAGTGGCGCGGAATGGACAGAGGTGCGTCAATCGCTGGTGGACGGCTACAAGCACATCAACGGGCACAACGTAGACGCCGTCATCCTGGGCGTGTGCAGTGGTCCCCGCCAACTGGCGCTGGCCAAGAACTATGTGGACTTCTTGCGGAGCACGGGCGCCACGCCCAACGGCGCCACCCTGGGTCGCCTGCTGCGGATCTACAATGCCGCCTATCACGAACGACCGCTCAGCGCGGCGGAGCAAGCCGAGATCCTGCAGATCTGCCGCACCCTCCAGGCGGAGCACGAAACCCTGGACGCCAGCAGCTGTGAGCATGTGATCCACGGCCTGGTGGCCACCAACGACCATTGGCAGAGCGCCCTGCCGCTGCTCGAAATGATGAAGGTCACCAGCGCGCCCAGTGTGGCCGCCTATTCCGCTTTGGCGGAGAAGGCTTTTAGTGTGGCGGATTCAGAGGATCAGGAACTGGCCTGGCGCCTCCTAGAGGAGATGGCCCTGGCCCGAAAGCCGCCCAAATGCGAGGTCTACCTGGCGCTGCTCAATCGCTTGGCCAGCAGCGAGTCGGTTAGCGAACTACCTGCCCAGCTAGAGCGCCTGCTGCAATTCCTCGAGCGTCATGAGATTCTAGTCAGTCAGCGAGTGGCCCAACGGATGCAGGATCTTGGCCAGCAACGACCCCGGCTGCTGGAGGTCAGGGCCACCAAGAACTTGGGACCGCTGGGCAAGTGCCAGGCCTGCCAGCAGCACCTCCAGCCGGTGGCCATCAGCGATGAGCAATTTCGCCGCCTTAGCGAGTGTTTCCTGGAGCGCGTGCTCATACGCCGCGATGTCTTTCAGCGCTCCACGCCCGAGGAGGTGGCCCGGTTCAAGAAGTACGTGGAGCGGACGGCGCCCTATGACTGTGTGATCGATGGCCTCAATGTGGCCTACTCCACCGGGACCAAGAAGTCGCCGCAGCAGCTGGCCAATCTGGTGGCCACCGTGGTGCGGCACTTCCGGGATCGGGACAAGCGTGTGCTGGTCCTGGGACGCGAACACATGCGCAACTGGTCCAAGCAGGCCATGCACTATGTGCAGAGCAATGCCAGCCTCTTCCTGACCAGCAATTTGTGAGCAAATCGCTTGTGAAACAGAAAGGGAGAGAGATAGATTAACTTAGTTTTGTGATTACAGGTCCCATGATGATCCCTTCCTGCTTTATGCCACACTGCGCAGTGGCCAGGACACGGACTTCTTCTCCCGCGACCTGATGCGCAGCCATGCCTTCCATTTGGGTGCCGACCTGAAGCCCATCTTCCGCCGCTGGCAGCAGCAGCACCAGCACTCGCTGGTCACCCAAACGCAAACGGGCCGGATCATCGTCAAGGAGCCCGTGCGCCACCGGCTGAGTGCCCACGCGGTGGCGGGCAGCACCTGGCATGTGCCCTACTGCGAGGCGTACACCCAGCATCCCACCGATAGCTTCGAGGTGCCCGCCAACTGGCTGTGCCTCCAACTGAAAACCCAGCCAAATGCCAACCAAAGGAAAGATAAATAGTTGAACAATTATTGTGAGTGATGCAAAGGCTAACAAATTATACTAGAAGAGCCGTCCGAATCCAACGCCTAGTCACAATCGTAGCGGGTGCACTTCTCGAAGGCGCCAATGGCCTGCGCCTGCGGCTTCTTGCGACGCCGCTCGTGCACCAGCTTCTTCTCGGCGGCGCACATGAGCCGCCGCTTGATGTGGTTGTCCATCTCGAAGTCCAGGTCGGCCGGCTTGCACGGCTCGTTGGGATCGCGGGTGGCGGCCGAGTCCAGCGCCTTGATGATCAGCGAGAGGAGGGCGTGGGCCAGCCGGTGGCACACATCGTACTCGATGGCATCCTGGCTGGTGTAGTAGATGGCCGACTGCGAGGTGGGCTGCACCCCAATGGCCAGCAGGATGTTGCAGAAGATGCCGCGCTGCATGCGGGCATAGGGATCAACCAGTTGCGGCGGTATCCGCATCGTGGTGGCCAGATGGGCAATGAACTTGGCGAACTTCTTGATGAGCACGTTCAGGTACTGGGTGCGGCACTGGCGCTCCAGCTTGGTCAGCATGTTGTAGTACAGTTCCTGCTTGCGCTTCAGGAAGTCCTCCTTCTTGCGCTCCTTGCTCTTGTTGCTCTTGAGGATCTCCTCCAGCTGTCTGTTGTGGTTAATGGTAAGGGTAATGGTAATGGTAATGGTAATGGTAATCGTAATGGTAATGAAGTGTTTTTAAGGGAATGCATTTTGATAGAGTAAACCTACTCTGTGGTGATGGCATTGTATTTGCCCAGCATCCTCTTGATCCGCCTGGCCCGCAGCTTGGGATCGTAGACCTGCTTGAACTGCTCGTAGTTGTCGATGAGCGTGTGCAGCTTGGGCTTGGCCAGGGCCACGTCGTAGGGCTTCACCTTGGGCGGCATGGCCGGCTGGTAGGCCATGCGCCGCACATACGACTGCAGCTTGGCCAGGTTCTCCTCCTGCCGCCTCTTCACGTTCTCCTCGGCGCACACATCCGGATCCTCCTCCTCGGGCAGCGACTCCGTCGACGTGGGCAGCGGCTCATCCCAGTCCGAGACATTGGAGCTGGCCATTGGAGCTGATTGGTGGGAGATTGCAGATTGGTTTGGAGAACGGCCCAATCAATTTAAATGGATTGAGAATTTAGCAGGGATTATGATTCTTTATATTAGAATGCACAACCAAATTTATATGGAAAAGTTTTCAAAAAAAAAAAAAAAAAAAACGAGAGCACTAACAATTTTATGTATTCGCTTTGGAAAAGTTGAACACCTTATGAGCAGTCCCTGTTGAAATGTGTCCAAAGTAAATCCCCCGGATGACTAGATCGGTACTTTAGTAAGAACTCTATATTAAAAATCTTTAAAATATGATATAAAACAATTGCGATTGGTGTTTTTTCAAAAAATACACAATATTTATTGCCTCATTATATAGTTATAATACCAATATGTTTTTCTGTAAGCAACAATTCATAACATTAGCATATAAAATAGAAATTTCTTGAAAGTTTTAAATGGGTGGCTTATTGGCATAAAAACGATTTCATAGTGCTAATACAAATCGAAGGTTCTTCTTTAAACAACAGTTCACAATTGTAGGTTTATAATATAAAAACAGATATTTCCCGAACGTTTTGTATGGATTGGCTTAATGGCATAAAAAGTGTTTTATAGTGGTAATGAAACTCGAATTTAACTTTTTATATAAAATTAAGGGTTTCAAAAATTTGCAGCGCCTTTGTATAAAATGGCACTGTTTAATATTGTAGCTCCCAATTCTTAACATAAGTAAAATATGAAATCATTGATTAAGGTCACTAAAAGAAGTTAAATTCAAATACATAAAAGGGGATTTCCCCGAATACAAGAAAATTCCGATATTATTAACTTTAAGTTGTGCTTTTGCCGTATAAAAAACGGCCCCATAATGATTCAACAATATAAAGTTGGGAACTCCTTTAATACATATTTAAATATTATATATAGTTAAATAGTCCTGTTTGGAACATGACACATACATAAATTGGTAGCAAATTACAAGTCTGATGAAATACGTTTTGCAGGCGCATTCCAGAAAATGAACATCTCGACAGTTTACAATTAAATAAGCAACGTTTTATTATAATAACCAGTGAAGGGTTTGTGGGCTAACGCTAGTAACACTCGTTCTGCACGGATCTCTCCAGGGCGAACGTGTACTCCTCGGCCAGTTCGTCCACGGACAGTTGGCGCGTGAGCAGCGCCAGGATGCTGTCCACCTGCATCTGGGTACTGGCGTAGTGATCCTTGGTGGTCAATCCGGGTGCCAGCTCGAAAGGAATGTCCTGCAAGTAGTTGACGGGTCCTTGCTTGACAGCTCCGCCAGCTACTCCGGGTCCTACTAGTCCACCCCTGGGTCCTGGCATCGGCGGATACGGCAGGTAGCCCGTCGGCATGGGCGGGTACATGGCGCCGGAGGAGATGGCCGGACCAGGTGCATCCGGTCCGGGTTTACGCTCAATAAACACGAAATCATCGCCGCTGGTTCCTGGTCGCGGTCCATCCGCCGGCCCCTGGATGGGCTGCTCCTCCGTGGGAGTTTCCGCCGGCTTGCGCTTTCCAAAAATGGAGAACATTTCACTAGCTTAATTTAATTCTACTGTTTGGTAAATTGGCGAATTGCGTCGTCGGCCAGCTGAGATGCGCGATTGCCAACGTTGCTGCTAGCTTGGCTGTTTTCTAGCTAAATTTGGCTTGTTGCGGGGGAACTTGCGAAAACGTTCATAAATATTTTCTGATTTTAATGGGGGTTCCCAAATACTTACAAAATTATGAATGTTTTTCAATTTAAAAATATAAGATTAGATTATATTTTATATATGTTCTTTGATTCTTTAAAAATGCGCAGCGTTTTTCATTTTTAAAATACAAGCCTAAATTTATGTATTATTTTTCATTTTATTATTGAACTGCTAGACACGGCTACTTCGTTTCTCGTGGAATATGTTAATATTGTTTATTTAAGTTTTGTAATTTAATTGAGCTCTTGATAATTTAATACCATTTAGACTGTCCATTTGTACCTGTGTCAATTGTTAATCACAAATTTAAAGCGTTGAAAATAGGTTAATAGCTAATAATTGGCCGTTAAAAAGTAGCTAGATCTAAAGTGAAAGGTGCCAGCACTGACGACCCGTTAGAAGCCTATCGATACACGCGATAGACGGTTGGCGCGCAGTGTGGCCAGGCGGTCGTCGAATGCGCAGGGCTGCAAACTGTCGCGCTCCTCCGTCTCCAAGTGAACTGAGCTCGCTTGCTCCGAGATTGATTGTGTACACCGGATAAGAGGAGGCCAGGAAAAATATGTCAAAAGTGGACCAGGACCCGAATGCTTCACTGAGCATCATGGAGGTGAGTTGTGCCCCCGCGTGGGGGGCCCTTCCAGTCGCCGCACAGCCGTGCCCGCCGTGCTCCAGTTCCAATTGGCGTTGGCGCTGCGTCTGCTCAAGATGCCACACATTAACGTGTCTCCTTTTCGTTTTCGTTTCCGATTTCGATCGCAATTAATGCGTTTTTCCACCTCCCCCTGCAGCAAATCAAGCAGCTCATCCGGCCGCCGCCCAACGAGGACGAGAAGCTGGTGCAGCGGACGACCAACACGAAGCATCCATACTACAGGCGACCGGGAAGGGGTCACAATCACGACTATTGCGACGCCTGCGAGGAGGGCGGCAATCTGCTGTGCTGCGACCGCTGTCCCTCTAGCTTCCATCTGCAGTGCCAGTGAGTATAGCCATCTGGTCTTCGCTTCCCAGTGCTCTTGTTTCAAGCTGTTCCTCTTTTTTGTATCGCAGTGATCCTCCGCTGAGCGAGGAGGACATACCCAGTGGCCAGTGGCTGTGCCATAGCTGCCGCATGGCCAAAGTGTCCCAGCCGCCGGCCTCCTCCTCGAAGGCCAGCTCCGTGGAGCGTGTGCCATCGGCGGGCAGTGGCTCCCGGGCCAATACGCCGTCCTCGGGCGATTTGGAGTCGATACCGCTGAAGATACGCAATCTTCGCAAGCGCAGCAACAGCGAACGCAACAGCACCGAGAAGCTGCTGGCCAAGATGCCGCTGGCCATACAGCGGGCCCTCGATCCCAACAAGAAGCCGACGCCGCTGGACGACGTGATCAGGGCGGCCAGCATGCTGAATCCGCAGCAGTTCTCGCTGCCGCCGGAACTGGAGCTGCACACCCAGTTTCCGGGCAACGGCAAGGTGCAGCCCGTCCAGCAGGCCCAGCCGCCCAGCGGCAATGGCGGGCATCGCAAGTGTGCGGCCAATCAGCGTCGCAATTCCAAGCCCTTCGAGCTGGACGCCCAGGGACTGGTGCCGCTGCCCGCCAAGACCTGTTTCTACTGCACGCGCTCCTGCAAACGAGCGCCGCTCATCTCCTGTGACTACTGTCCGCTTTACTACCACCAGGACTGCCTGGATCCCCCACTAACTGCACTGCCAGCCGGACTGTGGATGTGCCCCAATCATGCCGAGAACTTTATCGTAAGTGTGGGCCCTACAAATGATAGTTTTAGTTCTTTGGTTTTCATCTGCGTTTATCTCTTTTATCGCAAAAGGATGCCAATATGACCAACAGCATTTCGGCCACGGAACGGGTGCGCCTGTGGAATCGCTTCCATCAGCCGCTGGATCACGAGAGCGTCAAGATGGAGTTCTTCCGGCGCGTCAATACTCGCCATCCGCCGTTTCGCACCAAGACGCACTTGCGCGCCCGTGCGCACATCGAGGTGCCGGCCATTGTGCGCTATCACTACGAACATCCGCCGGCGCTGCTGCCCTCCATGCGCCAAACGCTGCGCTACGATCGGGTGAAGCGGCGCCGGAATCTGCCCACCGCCGTCGAGGAGATCTCGCGCGAGTCGGTGACCGAATCGCTGCTGAAGGATCTGGAGGCTCTGCGCTCGGCCCGAGCCAAGTTCCGTGAGATTCAGCGCGAGTACGGCAGCGTGGAGACGGCGCTCGAGGGCGACAGCGACAGCGATGCCAGTCCCGAGGAGCCCGAGTCCGAGACGAACTCACCCGGCGACAAAATGAATGGTGGTCTTGCGGATGCGGAGAATCCCAAATCGACGGCGGAATCCCAAACTCAGCTGGCCAACGAGCAGCAACCCCCGGTTGTGAAGGATGAGGCCAAGGCCAAGGTCGAGGCCAAGGCCAGCCCGGAGCTGGAGGTGAGCTTCGAGGAGGACGAGGAGGAGAGCAAGGCGGGTGGCATTATCGATGCCGACCTCTTCCACCTGGACGTGGATATCATCAAGAAGCTGGCCCACCAGCGACTGCAGCAGCTGGTCGAAGAGCATCCGGAGATAGTGACGCAGTATAAGAATCGCACGGCCGCCCGCCGACTGCGCCAACTGGCATCAGGCCAGGGATCGGACATGACCGCCCTGCAGGGCCAACTGGCACCGGAGGACATGAATCGTTTCTCGCTGCTGTTCACCAGCGAAACGTCATCGATACTGGCGCAAAAGAACGGCAATGCCGCCGACGAGGATCCCGCAATGGCCCTGCATCCGGCGCTGGCCACGGCGGCGGCCATTGCCGCTGCAGATGCGGCCGCCGAGAGCTATGTGCCGCGTGCGCGCAGCGACACGGAGAAGGCCTACGAGCTGGCCACGCGCCTCGAGCTCAAGCTGCTGCAGTGCAAGGTGCAGGCGCGGGCGGTGATCACGCCGCTGGGCGACATGCTCGAGGACAGCCGCTGGTTCACCTCGCTGGGCCTGGGCCACTCGATCTTCATGCGCTACCGCACGCTGTACATCGGCTACGGTGGCCACTACTCACCGTCCACGACGCTGGGACAAACGGAGACGGTGGACCTGTCGGCGATCGGGTACTGCTGCCGCATTTCGCCGCAGCACGCCATCATCTTCTACGACGAGTTCTCGAAGTCGTACGAGCTGATCAACTACTCGGAGTTCGGCACCGAGGTGAACGGGCAGCTGTACACCTGCGACCTCACCGACAGGATGCCCACGCATGCCGGCAAGCGGATGCGACCGGACGATGCCGAACTGAAGCGGCGCGTCGACGATCTGCTGGACAAGCGGCGGAACATCCAACGTCAGTTCGAGTCCAAGAGGAACAGCAAAGATAGGTGGGTAGTGTAGTGTGTCCAAATCAATTGATCGAACTTACCAAATAAACACCCCCCGTGTGTGCATTCACAACAGATTGGCGCCCATTGTGAAGCCCGCCTGCCGCTGCACGAACGCCCAATCCGTGCCCATGGTGGCCGGAGCCTGGGAGGGATCCGCTGTGCTGGCCCACGGCAGCCTGCTCCGCTTCGGCTGTCTGTCGTTTGTGTTTTCGGTGCCGTCGTTGGACATGCTGCAGGCGCAGGCGCGCTGCAAGCGATCGTAGGACCAAGACATCCTTATCCTCATTCCCATCCCGCTCCCGATCCCGATCCCATTGCCCAACTAGTTTAAGCACACACACACACACACACACACAGCACCAATCTCAGTGGGGCAGCTTGTAGACAGGGTTATAGGGTTATAGGTTTAGCAAACAATTCAGTTTCATTGCCATCGGCTTTACATATTTGGATTTCTCCCATTTTAGGATTAAGCAATTTCATCGCAATTATCTTCGCAATTTAATGCCTCGGCTTAAACATCATTTAACACTTTGAATCACACACAAATTCAATCAATGATTTTTGTAATAAAAAAACGTAGAAATTGGCCTGTGAAATGTGTAGAGAGTTACTAATTCACACATTTAAGACTACCAAGCTGCGTGTTTTTATTTAATTTATCACACTATTCATCGATCGTGGGTAAACTACTACGAATTACACCCCATTAATTGTATTTCTAATTGTATAAATAAATTGTATAGATTGCAAACATGAAATAAACTTGTAAGAATCACGGGCACTTTTGTCTTTTGTAAGCGATTAGTTTACAACGATACTTTGATTAATAACTGACTTGACAACACAATAAAACTGGTTGAATTAAGAGTTTTTTTTTATGGTTAGCAAACCAATAATATTAACAATTCTAATTTAATTTATTTGTAAAATAAGCATTGCTTCAATCAATAAGTCAATTAAAGAGCAACATTGTGAGTCTCTATTCGATTTGTGTAGCCTTAAGTTCTTGAATAAAGAAAGGTCTTTAAAGCAAATGGCTCAGGACACCCAAGTTAGTGGATAAACAAGATCCCCAATCAGCTCGAACCATAAGAAAACGATGCGGTTTTGTTGAAACGAATGTTTACTTTATAACCAGATCCAATCCAACTGGTTAAGGCATTATAGAGAACGAGAAGAGTATACACATTAGGTGACTTTGTTGGAGTACACGCGAAACTTGGGATAAGTACATCGGTATTCGGTATCGGTATTCAGTATTCAGTATTCGGTATGGCTAATAAAAATATAAATTTAATTGTAAAAGTCTTAGGCTACGACTACCAATCCCGGCCAGCTTTAGACGGCGGCCGGCGGTCCTGGCTGTGCCGGCGGCGGACTAGCCTGCTGCACCTGCTCCTGGACGCCCGCCTTGGCCGCTGAGCGCGTGGCCCGCGACCTCTCCCACTCCGCTTTGTGCTTGCGCTTCGTGTGGTGGTACATGTTCGACTTGGACCGGAACTCCGTGGGACAGAAGGCGCAGGTGTGCAGCTTGACGCCCGTGTGGGTGGCAAAGTGCTCCTAAGAGATAGAGATAAAGTGAGTTAGCATCAGGTAGCTGCTTCTGGTTCTTCAAAAAACTCACCTCCAAATAGCGCTTCATCTTGAAGCACTTGCCGCACACATCGCAGGCGTACTTGGGCTTGCTCAGGCAGCGATGATTCTGTCCAGGAAGCTCGCCGCAATTGGGACAAATGATGACCGAGACGGGGCATGCGGCATGAGTGACGGCCTGTGACTCTGCAGACGGGTTGCTATTTAGGAGATTCTTTTATTAGTTCATTTCAACTTGCGAGAATTCAATCCACTTACCTGAAGGCCTGATGAGCCAGCATTGCCCCTGTTGCCGTCGTCGTTGCGTTGGTGGCACTGCTCGCTGTGCCCACCGAAGCGGATGCAGCCGCCGTCGCAGACATCACAGCGAATAGTTGCTCCTGCTGCTGCTGCAGCAGACTTACGCACAGGCGCTGCTGCAGACTATCCGGCCGGCCAGGCGGATTGTCCGTGAACGAAGTGGCGGCCACGACGGCCGCCGCCACGGCATTGTAGTTGGCCAGTATCAGCTCGTTCTCCTTGAGCCTCTTCTGGGGCGAATCCTCGTCGCTGGCATCGCTGCCCTCCGTGTGCTGCACCTTTTTGGGCGAGTGCGTCTTGCGGCGACTGGCGCGATTGCGTGAGCCCCGGCCGGCGGCTGATGGCGGTGGTGTCTTGGTGATGGTCAGGTTGATGGCCTCGCCGGGTTGGCCCTTGATCACGGACAGCGGCAGCGGCAGCTGCTGTTGGTCGTTAGGAGCAGCTTGTCCGGAATTAGCCGAACTTTCAGTGGGAGCCGTTTGTGCAGGGATTCCAGGGAGAGCGACAGCAGCAGCAGCAGCACCACCACCACCAGCTGGAGCAGGTTCCTCCGGCGTCGTGTGATTCTGAGCCGACTTGGCCGCATCCCGTTCCTCGCGTGCCTTCAGCCATTGCGTCGTGTGCTTGCTCTTCACATGGGTGTACATGTTCGAGCGGCAGCGGAAGGCCATCTCGCAGTAGGGACAGGCAATCGGACGGTCGCCGGTGTGCGTGGCTATGTGCTCCTCCAGGTAGCGGCGCATTTTGAAGGATTTCTCACAGAACATGCAGGGAAACTTATTGGCCGTTGTGGGCGTGACAGCCTTGGGCTCTTCCGCCGGCTCCATGAGCAACTGGGGCTGCGCATCCGTCTGCATTTCCGAGCCCTCCTCCGACCAGTTGACATCGCAATCGATGGCCAGGAACTGGCTGCACAGCGTCGTCTGTTTGAGCTCCACCAGCTTCCAGAAGTTGTGGAAGCTCTCCAGTTGCGAGCAGCACTCGGTGCAGATGCAGGTGGAGATGGCATCATCGCGGGAGAGCTGGAGAAGATGGCCAGAAAGGGAGATTACGGTGGGCAGGCGGATGGGGGATCCCCGAGAGATACTCACGCAGAGGTACAAGTGAATCGAGATCAATTGGACCAGGTAGCTCTCCGGCATCGCCTTGCCGTCCTCCTCGTCCTCCGGAGCGGACGCACTGGGTCCGCCGGCGCCGCCGAACAGCAGCACGGCGCTCTGCTCGTCCAGCGCGTTCAGACACAGGCGACAGATCATTTTATTCCGTGATTTTACTTTATTATTCTTAGTGCTCCACCATTAGTTTGTGTTCTCCACACGCGCACGGTCACACTTTCACCTAGCGATGGCACGCCGCCCACTTATCGATTACCGATATGTTGTGCCAATCGATTTCGCACGTCACGTAAGCTCCCGCTACGAAACGTGGCACGTAACAAATAAACGTTAATTTAATTTAAAAGCATTAAGAATTTTATTATTCTTAATATAGAAAACAATACCTATTGTTTTTGTTTTTTATTTATTTCTTAAATAAATTTAAGACTAAAGATGCCAAATATCATTTAGCTTACTTTGCAAAAATGCTAATTACGCTGACTTTTAAAGTTTCGTTTTGGCTTTAGTTATTTTCAGAATTTCTAATAATAATTTAAAGTGCCGCCTCATAGTTTATTCCACGTATAGTTCCACAAAAACTTAATTATTGCTAAAAAGACTGATTTACATTTCTTAAAAAACTAATAGTCAAAACAAAACTCTTACTTAATTACATTAAATTTTAGAATGTATTATTTTAGCAAAGTGTAGACTCATGTCCTCATGTCATTGTCCTAATGGGTTGCTTAATGGGTGTTAATATTAAGAAACCAATAACAAACATTAGATGGTGTGTCCGACTAAAATTATGAGAGGTACTCTTTATCTTTTTTTGATCCGCAAAAATTACACTATGTTCAATGATAATTAATTTTTTGTGACTGCGGGATTGCAGCATTGAGCACTGGCAGTGGAGCTTTGAAAGCTTTGATTTTTACCTTATCTGAATATGCATATATCATTCTTTAGCTTGCCGAAATGTAACTGGTTTGCATGACTTGTAAGCGCCAATTTGTTTTGACCGCTTGCATTGATGATGCTGCGGCCGCTATTAACTTCAAGTGCGAATATTGTGGCTAATTGATTTGCAAAATGACGCAAATAAAATTGGCAAATAGCAAGTGCATTATTACTAAATGCACTTTGCCATGATTGGCAAGCCTTTAAATTTTCATCTCCCAAATAAACGCTTAAGTTGTTCTCAAAACCGAGCAGATATTAAATAATTATTCAAAAGTATCGTTTAAAATTAGAATACAAATTTAAAAATGATCTTAAATCGAATTAAATATAAATTTAAATTTCTTGTTACATTGAATTTAAATTATAATTTTTTGAGTGCACTGCCCTATAGCTAAGGTCACAGAAAAGTGCCAAGAACGAAGCGAACTATTCACATGATCATAATTCCCAACTCCACGTATGTTTCGAATGGTACGTTGACCATTTTAATTTGGCAGTTAGCACTTTTTTTTAAAGTCTGCGTAGGGCTTTGTTTTAAAGCATTTATTGGCCGGCTAAGTTCCATTTTCAAGGCCACTCAACGATTTTCAAGAGACTTGAATGTGAACTTGTGCGTGTTTTTGCTGCGTTTGCTTTTAGCTTAATAAGTTTACAGCTGCATTAAATTGGCTACCGAGAGATACAGTCAGACTTCCATAAACTGAACTGTGAATATATCTACATTTTGAGTTACTTTTTAACTTAATCGCATTTACATTTTACGATTTTAAGCTTTGTTTTACTAAATTTTACCTTACCAACGTGTCGTATGATTAATTTTTAGTTGTTATTTTAAAGCTTAAAGTTATTTTAAGATAGTTTAAATAACACTTTTTTTGAGTTAAAATTTAAAATAAATTTGCTGAACATATTGTTTCAAATTGTTTTAAATAAGTAGAATTGTAATGGCCAACTTGTCGTATGAGTAATTTTCTAATGCCTAAAACATTTTCTAAAAATGAAAAATTAAAAAATATTAAAATTTATTTGTAATATTTTTTAGGAAATCAAGAAATTGGAAAGCAAATTATGACTTTCAGAAGGTAAGGCAATTAAAGTTAAAATTAAAAAAGTTTTGATAATTGTACGTTTTAAAGTTTTATTTGTAGAATACATCATGTGGGAAAAAGAAATTAAAAAAAAAAAATTATATTCTCGTAACGGAAAAACCAAACTATTGAAGTTGGACTGTAAAACTCGTATACTAACACGACCGCCGGCCGAAATGTGTAAATTTCAGTTGTCTGCTGTGTTCTATGAGCCACCAACAAAAATGTACCCAAATTCGCTTTCGACGCCGCTGCTTCTTTTTGACAGTTTTGTTTTAATTCATGTTCATATATGTATGCTTTGTTGTCGCCGTTTCAGAGTGGTAGGTTGTAAATAGTTTGGATTCGTTTTAACTTGCGAAACACGTCCGAAAGACTTTGAGCCAAGCCAGTTCAGTTGGCCAGCTCAGCCGGGAGCAGAGCAGCATAACAAGTGGAGCGCGACTTCGCCTTGCCGAAAATTGTTTGCCAATGTCGCGATAAAGCTGAAAAAAAACCAAAACCAAAACCGAAGAAAAAATGGGCGAACAAAATGCCGCCAAACATGGCAATGGCCCGAGCTGAGAGGTGGAAAGCCGGAAAAACCGCACAGCGCCCACGCAATACGCACACGCAAAGAAAAAAACAATATGTCGCTTTTCGACCTTCTGACACAGAAAAGTCAACAATGAAAATTGCACAACACCGCCCGAGTATGGAGCTATTTAGCGTTGACAGCAATATAAAATATTTCAAAAATAACCACAACAAATAGAAAAAGTAAACACTGCAGAGACAAAAATTATTATAATTTAAGATGCGATATGACAAAGATTTAATTATATACAAATGTATTACTATTCAATAATGAAATGTTTTAAAAATAGTTAATTATCAAAACAAATTATTATTTGTTTTAGGTGCTACATTTTGTAAGCTCAAACTTTGTTTTAAAGAAAATTCCAAAACACCACCATGCCAAAATTATCTTGAAAGTTAATATTATAATTGTACGTTAAATATTATGAGAATCTATGATCTTATCGTCTTATTTTTTTCTATGTAAAAGAATTAGCATATGTATGTGCTAAACTAAAACTTAATTAATAAAACGAAATCTAGATCATTGGCTTGAGTCAGCAGAAAATACAAAAATCAAAAGAAAGTAAACTAATATAAGCATTGGCCATCAATAAATAAACCAAAATTCTTTTAAAATAAATAACTTGCAAAATAATATTAATATAATAATAATAATATTAATTATGGAACTGAATATCTTGGATAAATTTTTTGACTTCCTTTAAAAGCGAGATGGCAACGCCAAGAATACAAAATACAATGCATGATCGCCAGACTTTATCCCTCTTGTTCACCCCCCTTTTCGTCCGTATTCCAGTACTTTTTATTGGCCATTCCAGCTGCTACGTCGGCAGAGGCAGCGACGCCGACTGAGGCAGAGTTCCAGAGGCAGAGACTCGACGAAAAGCCAAAATAACGAAGTTACAATCAGTTGCAGTCGCGAATTAGCGTCGCACAGACGCTCCAAACTCAATTGTCCCCTCTCGCTCGCGCTCCATCCGCTGTCTCGCTCCCTCGCGGAAGTCCGATAGTTCCGATAGTTCTTGTGGGTGCAACGGTAAATTTAAAACCTGCAAAATGGTGCAATCAAACGAGAAAAACGAGGATCAACTGATGGCCAAACGGATTTCGGAGCTGCAGGAGTGGCTCAAATCGCAGCCGCAATTACCGCAGAATATATGTTCGTATTGCCAAGTGGGTCAGATCGCAAAAACCCATTTTTCTCTTTAACCGTCGAGAGCACCGAAAGAAATGCAGATCTTTTTGCGCATCAACTGAAAATTTTAATAAAAATGTGTTTATTTTTTATTGTGCTCAAATTAAGATACTGGAGCTTACAATTTTTACAAACGAGCGCTCAATAACTTAATAAAAAGTTTAAAAAAATTGGTATTTCAAAAAATATTGTTTTTTACTGTTTTGAATCAGAAACCAAAAAGCAGTAAAAACCTTAATAAAAGTTATAAAAAATGTTTTTAATTCTTTTTTATTATGCCAAAATCCAAATACAGAAATTATCTTATGTATAAAGTGATAAAAACATAATATAACAAAATAAATAAAAATAACCCCTGGCATGACACTTGTTAACAATTTAAAAAAAAATTAAAGATATCAATTAGGTTTAGCTTACTAATAAGTTCTTAGAGATTTTTTCCTGTGTGATTATCGTTGAATTGGCCAACTTTGACTGTGGGTCAATATTGCCTGTACGATGGGAACCGCAGCCAGTTGCATAACGACCGCAACCGCAGTGACTGATGAATGCACCTGTACCGCCGATCACCTGCTGTACTATACTCTATACTCACGTTAATTCGCATTCGCATTCGTATTCCTCCGCAGCCCGACTGCTGCTGCGCCGCTTTCTGCACACGACCCGAAATGATTTGTCCGCCGCCCAACGACTCTTGGAACTCAATTACGGACTGCGAAACAAGCATGCCCACATCTTCATCGATCGCGATCCGCTGGACGACAGTTCCCAGCAGCTACTGAAAGTCGCGTGAGTACTCAGATATAGGGGTTACGGGAGTTTTGGATCCGGGAAATTACTATAAAAACCATCTCAAACGAATTTCCAGATCAGATCAGTAATTTGTTCTCGGAATACTTTTGAAATCATAGCCTTATCTTCACATATTATAAATAAAATAATATTTAATAATGGAGTAAGAGAAAATTACATGATTAATAGAAGATTAAACTGTTAAAGATGAGGGAATCATTAAATGAAAATAACCATTAAAACTTTATAACCATATTTTCATGAATGGACATGTTAATTGATCACATAATTATTTCCGGAATTTTCATGGATCACATAATTATTTCCGGAATTCTCATGCATTCTATTAAACAATAAAAATAAATATTAATGGTCAAACTAAGGCTAGACCGAAACTTAATAGGTAAACTTAATAGGTAAAAAAACATTTTAGGCCAAGTTATGTGCATTATTCTGCTGAGAAATAAGTGCAAGGATTGGGTTAATAATGTATTAAAAGTTTTCTAAACTCCAGACCTGTTTTTTTTATTTTATGAACAAATGAAGTTCATATTTTAAAATGAAGGTCTCAAACATAATCAACATTTAAAACAAACAAAAAGAAGTAAAGATTTATGCATGCATTAAAAGCAATTGTTTATGAGATTAAGTTAAGTGCCAAATAATGACAATAAGAGTACCCGTATACGACAATAAATTTAAGACTTAACAAAAGTTTATTACCAAGTTAGACGTGTTTATCCACATACGTATTTAGCTAAATATATATGTTAAAAGCGGTGCTTTAAGTAACATATTAACCAAATTACCGAAATGGTTACACACAATTTGTATTTGTAATGTATGTATCTGTGTTCATCGGACCAAAGTTTACAATCCACTAAAAATCTCCTGCAGAAAATCAATCAAATTTAGTACCGACAAAAAAGTCATAACAGATATTTATCGAGAGATTAACGCCACAATACAAACATTAAACACCGATTGAGACTTTGATTTTAGTGGCGGGAGTCCAATCAACAATCAATCAACTGAAATTCCTGTGAAATTGGAAATAACGTTTGAATATCTGGCTATGCCATTAGATTGGCTGATATTAGCTTAGATCTTGTGAGCTCCATGAGCTTACAGGCATTTCGCAATGTTGACTTAGGGCTTGTTTTTGCTTAGTGTACAGAGAGTGCATTGTCTTGCACTGCTATTAGTTCAAAACCGGTTTTGGTTTGAACGGATAATGGGGAATGGTGAATTAAGTGGGGTATCCAGAATTATGTTAACCGTTTCCCTGGCATTTTCACTTGCAGAGATCTGGTGCCGTTGCCCGGTTTGACACCGGAAAATAACAAGCTGCTTTTTTACCGCCTGATCGACTTCGATGCGGACAAAGTAAGTTTTAAAGTGAATTAAACAATAAGCCATCTTTGAATAACAGCTTGATAAGAATTTTATATTGATTTGATGGGTGAATGGTATTCAAAATTCATACCCTTTTATTTTACCTCTTTTTAAAAGAGTTATGTCAACACCCAACTGTCATATTAGCTTTTAAACAACGCAATATGCCTTTGAGGACAAAAAAAATAATTACAAAATTATTGGACTTTAGATCGTATTTAATTTTGGATTTTTGTTTTAACTTTTTCAATTTTTTATCAGTGTTGCTACTCAGTAAATTTCGAAATCAAATTTAATCGCAGTTGACGTTTATGCATTTTCTCATAAAGAATATATTTTTGTTGACAGTTCAACTTCACGGCTGCGATCAAGGTGTTCTTCATGGTGGCCGACTGTCGCTTCGCCACGGAGGATGAGGAGCGTTTGTCGGATGGGGAGATACCGGTCTTCGACATGGCCGGCTATACGCTGCGTCACCTGACCAAGACGGCCTTGGGAGCGCTGCGGGTCTACATGAAGTTCGTCCAGGAGGCGCATCCTGTGCGGCTCAAGGAGATCCACGTGATCAACTGCCCCTCGTTTGTGGACAAGGTCATGGCCGTGGTTCGGCCGTTTATCAAGGGCGAGGTCTTCAAGCTGATCCACTTCCATTTGCCCGATTCGGAGACCCCATACCGTCACTTTCCGCGCTCCATGTTGCCGGAGGAGTACGGCGGCGAGGCGGGAAAAATGTCCGATCTGAAGCAGCAGTGGATGCAGTTGCTCAAGGAGCAGAGGTGACTACTTCCTTGGATTAAAAGTATTCATTGCTAGAGAAGACTTTGCTTTTCACAGCATTGATATCTTTTTAAGTGACTTCATATTTCTATTGGCAATCTTTAATATATTTTTTTTTAAAGGGACTATCTGATGGATTCGGAGAACTGGCAGATAAACAAGAACAAAAAGCGAAAATCCAGCGACTTGGCAGTTACACAAAGTCTACGCTCCCTTGAAATTGATTAGTCGCCGCGCGCACAACTGTACCTTAATATTTGTGGCCTTTTTACGATTTTCACCTTCTCCTAGATTTTACTAAAGTGAAGTCTAATTTGATCTGGATTTGAACTCAACGCATTTAAATTTGAAAATCTTACAAAACATAATTACTTCTGAGAAACTTTTCACTAGACTAGTTTTTGACAATGTCTTAAACTCTTAAATCCAAGAATTTTGTGGGAATCCAGTTTGATTGCTATTTTTGCCCTTCGCTGAAACCAATTAGAGCTATGGTTTCATAATCCCAAATTGGAAAGCAAATCAGAAATGATAGGCTTTAGGCACTTTTTGCCGAATATTGGTGAATGTGAAAGTCGGATAAGGCCCATTTGTATTGTATTGTATTTTTGTTTTGTTCTCGTTCCACTTCCCAGCTGGGCTTGGGTTTATGTAAATATATGTATGCTATGCTTAAAGAGACGGTTCTTCACATTTCACATTTCACATTTCCCATTTCCCATTTTCCTATTGATTCTCACACACACACACACACACACCCCTTTCGTCGGGCGGATTTTTTGTAATTGAATGCCCTATTGTGGGAAATGCATGGCCAGGGAAATGGAGATGGCCATGCGGGGTATATATGCGGCATAATGAAGTGCACAGAATTTCCATTTTTAATGCAACAGAAACAGCATAATTCCAATCGCTGCCGGTGCATTCGATGCCTGTGACTGATGCAATTAACTCACTACAAACCGGGGTGGCAAACGAAGGGGAAAATGTGTGTGCAGCTGGCTGCACTGAAAAATAATCTTTGATTTTCCTACCAAGAGCAGGTAATACTTATTACTTATCTTATTTAAAGCACACTTTTTTTTTTGTGCAGATCTAAAAGATTTATTTTTGTGATGAAGCAAAAATAAAAATAAATAGTACCCAAAAAGGCCACATTACTATTTTACAAATTAATTTGCCTTATATATATTATATCAGTGCATTATAACGCCCTAAAAATCGGACCATATATGCATGTACATTAGGGCGGTTCACACTTGCACTGCATTTTGTAGAATAATGAGCTTAAAGGTTAAACGCACTAGATTCAAACGATATTACTCATACGTACTGTTGCCTATTATGTCGTATAAGTAATTTTTAAGAAAACTTTATGACCATTGCTTAAACTTAAAATTATATTTATTGCACAACAAACATTAGACAATGACTATAAAGTAATTTGGATTTTTGGACCACCCTTGTGTGCATGAGTATCTGTGTGTGATTGAAACGAGTGTGTGTGTGTGGGTGGTTATACTGAGATTGTGCAGGTGTGAGTGTGTGTGTGTGTGAAGGAAGTGGCAGTAGAAGTGGAGCAACAGCAACAGCAATAGCAATAGCAGTGGCTACCGAAAGTGGAGGCCAAAAGGACCCTTGAGGCATGATGCGCATATCGAAACATCCGCTCGGTTGGCCAACCCGGCCACTGGATTGTCCGCAAAACCCAGTCTGCAATCCCCAATTCGCAATTCACAATCCGTACTGCCACAGTCCACAGTCCACAATTCGCAAACTCACAACTCACAACTCACAACTTGAAACCGGCTAGTGACACTTGGAAAATGTCTACGAGTCGTGTGGCTGACACATTAAAGTGTGGCTTGGTCAAATCCCCATACTCCAAACACTGCTGTCCGTCTTAATGCCGGCTTACACAGAAATTAATTTAGAATTTATGGCGAACAATTGTTAAAAGTATCTTATCATCAATATAAATGAAGAAGTTTTTAATGCCAATTGTAGGGGTACAGTTCTTAAATTTAATTTCACTGTTATGAGGTTCCAATTTACTGCTATTACATTTCTTAATTAAATTATCTTGTATACTGAAAACTTTACATTTCATTCGCAAACAAAAGGATGTTTTTAAGGATCTGAAAGACGTATTATATCTCGAAATCATTTGTTATGTATGTTGAATATTTTTTAAATCCCTTAAGCTAATATTCTGAAATTTTAAATTAATATTTCATATTTATTTTTCATGTGTAAGTAAACCCTGGTTTTTGTAGTAACAAAATCACAGAAAATTACTTACATTTTGTACCACATTTTTCTGTCTGTGCATGTGTTTATGCATATGTGCTTATACTGGACTCCCCGTACTCCCGGATTTAACGCCACTTAGCGTCGCGACTCATCCGTCAGTGTGGTGCGTGCCACTCCCATTTGAATGGGCTGCATGTGGGCGGTGGATGTGTGTGTGCGTGTGTGTGTGTGGTGGCGGGTGGTGTGCGATGTGTGATGTGTGTGGGACTTACACTTTTTGGCAAAACCAGATGTGCACTGCATGCCATTGCATGTATGGTAATCGAATTATGTGGCAACTCTGTCTTTTCGAGGGGTGGCATTGGTTTTTGGATGCCTGCACATGAGCGCCATGGAAATGGGTCGGTTTATGGGGTGGCACTCCTTCCTGGGACTCTCCTCTTTGAGTGTGGGCGGTATGTGCTGGAAAGCTACCCATCCTGTCTTTTTTTTCAAAGGTAAGTAACAAATTATAACCCGTATTTAATTTAACAACTTAAATTCTTTCATAAACAATACAAAAACTTTATTCATTTTACAAAAAAGTTAATTTTGGGGAGTTTGGACATCTTGAGTATGATATAAAATGAGTTTTCAAATGTATAATATTAGATTTTCCTGCAATTGTCTTTGGGTTGTTTTCCATAAAATCGATGACACTATCTAAAACTCTATGGGCTTTAAATCCATTAAAAATAACACCCATTAGAATTCTAAGACATTTTCAAAGTAAAATAGAAAACAAAAAATAAAATTATTTGTTTTACAGATCATTTTAATATTTCCAATCTCTTGATAAAGAGGAGTTTTATATTATCCGGGCCGAGGGACCACGGAGCACCCTTTATTCATCTGAAACTATGGCCAACAGTCAACCCTTCAATTGCATTATGACTGCCAACACAATTAGGGCGTTCGTTCTGGTGATACAGCCGAAACCTCGTCCCTGTTTGGGTTTTCAAGTCCCCGGGAAGTGGGCATAAAATATACATATTTGCACATGATGGGCAAAAAGAAAACCCAAGTGTGGTATGTCGAATGGGATGGGATGGCAGCGTTGGGGTTTTGTGGCCCATCAAAGACAGAGAAAGTTCCTGCCAGACTTGACGCCCAAATTGATCAATTTTACATTCTGCCACAACAATCGCAGCTGTAAGAAGTGGGTGGGGGCAAGAGGGGGCGAACTGAGTGGGCGTGGTGACCCCATTAACATGCCCAAGCCCAAAAAGCTTACGCTGCACTCTATATATACGGCCTGCAGTTGGCTGAGGATTTCCCCTACTTCCTTCGCTTTTCTCTCTTCTCTGCTTTCTGCTTTCTCCGTTTTCCCTGCACTTCCCCTCCATTCCCCTCCATTTGCCGGAAGAGGAAGAGCCAGAAGCTGGGGGTGGGAAGCGGAGGGGGGCGTGGCAGCGGCAGCGGCAGGGGCAAAAACAGAAGCAGTAGCAATAAACGAAATGTGCAGTCAACAATAGTCCGCCAGTCCACCGTGTTCGGGTCTCTTCAGTGTGTTTGTGTCAAAGTACAGTGACTTCTCCACAAAAAGAACTCTTTCGAAGAATTTATTCATATAACTCAATTAATTTTCTTTTATTACAAATTTTAATTCTGCTTGTAAGACTTAATGTGTAATTTTGGGCTTTTAACGAAATCCCAAAAAATTGCTTTATGGAAAACTGCAGTTTTAAGTCCATAAATTTTCTTACAGACGTCCGATTTGATAATGGTATGTGTTTAAGGACTTGAGTTTTAATTCTCTAAAAATCTGCATTAAAATCTCAGCTTATAATTTTGGGTCGATTTTTTGCAATTTTAATGATGTAACAACCCCTTTCTAAATTTGAGAAAAAAACTTTGCGAAAAAGTGACAAAAATGCTGCAGTTTTAAATCCATAATTTTTCTTAAGTCCATAACTTTTCTTTTTTTTAGTTAAATTCTTTTAAAATCTGCAATAAAACTTGGGCTTATAAATATAAATTGATTTTTTTGGTATGTAACCCCTTCGCAAAATGTATAAAAAATTAATTAATTAATTACTAACAATATATATAATGGTGTTTGACTTGAAAGCTGACTTCTTGGCCAGCTACTACTGTACTTGCCTCTGTGTGTGTGAGAGTCCAACATGTTTTTGTTGTTGCATGCTCGTTGTCGTCGCAACACCAACACACACACACCCACACACACACACACACACACTGTGTGTATGTATAGGGATTTGCAACTGTAGTTGTTGGCCGGGTCGCTGTTCAGTTGAGTGACTGATAAGTTCAGTCGGCGTTCGTTTGGCGCCGAGAACGGTTATCGCGTCTAATCGAATTTGGCTTAAATTCGAGGGCGAATAGAAAAGAAAGCGACCAAAAGGGCTGGGAAAATCGCTGGAACAGCTTACCGCGGAAAAGCCTACAAATTCCAACTAAAGAGTTTTCTCCGAATGCGTTTGTGAGCAGCTACATTGTATTTTGTTTGTTTTTTTTGCGAGTGAAAAAAACACCCGGCAAGTAAACCAATTTTACGGATTTTCATCTCTGGCTTCCAGACTCCGTACTCCGTACTCCGTTCTCCGAGAAGTATGCAATGAATTTCGCCTGCAGTCGGTAAGCGACTTTTTAGCTGTTGCTTGTTCATACCTACATCTAACTATTTTGCATGGCAGTCCTGCCAGTTATATCCTTGTTCCGGCTCGAATGCTTGTTCAATTATGTAAGGTGGAATTCATGACTGCACAGCCTGTTACCAGGCGACGGCCATAAAAAATCCAAGAGAATTTCTTTTTATGGGGCGACTTTTGGCGAAAATAATAAATGAGAGTGCAAAGAAAGGAGAGGGTTAAGCTTTAACTACACATGTTCGTTTATTCCAATCGCTTGGTCCTTTATATATAATATATATATTTTTTTTTGTTTTGTTATCAGATGAGCTTATTTGCATAAAAGCTTTGATTTTTAGTATCTAAAAGGAAAGTATGATAGTATCAAGTTTCTGCGATTCAATATATTTCAATTGTATGAATTAATTTCTTTTAAATATTCAACCTTTGCAACTTTAAAAGGAAAAGGTCCTGAAAAGTTTTAACAACCCTTAATATTATATTAGCTCGCGAAAACATAGGCTTAAATATTTTAGTAGCTGCTAGTATTCATTGAGTACTTTCAAACTTGTATGTGCTGTCTGACCAAGATTTAAAATTGTTGTAGGATAATAACATTTAAGTTCCCAAACTTGTCATACCAAATAAAAAATGTAAATAATAGGAAACTATTTTAGTTGAATCGAAGCAAGCAAAGCTCGATTTCCAATATGTTCTTAATTACCATTACATTTTTTTGGCTTATCCCATAGGTGTTGTGGCAGTCCACGATAATTGGCGACCTCAGCGAATAGCGCTAATGCCACCCCCTTTTAACCCACTGTTCATGTGTGCCATTACTTAACACTTACAGGCTGCCACCAGTCGGCACGCCATTACACTATTACAGCAACAAACGGGGAAATACGAATAAAAACGCGGAGGACCGACGGCTTTTAACTACCCCCAAAAGACTTTAACCTCGGCGAAGAACGAGAGGCGAGAGGCCCATATTAGTCATGCCCAGCCCGACAACCTCACGCCCCCTTTTTGGAGACCCCCTTTCTATACCCCCCTTCTAAGCCGAGCAGAACCCACACCCACACCCACACCCACACCTACACCTCCTTCATTGTTATTGCATGCTAATTCTCTTCTCTCGGTGCCCCACTCGAATTCTCGTTTCTTTCACATTATTGCTTTTGGCTTTTGCCTTTCGAGAAGTCATTTTCCTGCGACTGCCTGAAAGTATGCAGTGAAAGAGCTCTAATCGCATTTGTCACACGGTGAAAAAAAGAATACAATCATTAAAATACTTAAACAGTATAATCAATGATTCTTTATATTTTCTCACAAATTTTAAATGAGATTAAAGATAGTTTTTCCATCAGGAGTGTTTTTGAAATAGCTTAGCAATAAAGTAATCACTTTGGTCCTTCGCGCCGGATTTAATGTTCAGCGATTCAGTAATCTAGCAGATTAAGCCAAAAAAGATCACTTGTTACAGATGACAGCTTAGTAGTTTTTAACCAATGTTTTTTGTTGAGTGCATTGTTGGCTGAATGGGGGTGGATGGGGGGTGCCTGGTCAGCATCGTGGGTGCTCCACTTTGAGGCTAGACAAAGAACAATCACCTGTATTGCAGCCCCTTTTTCAGTTGGCCCAAATTCCCTGCGACAAGTTTGTATGAGTCAGCTCAACTTGGTTACAATGCACAATGTAAAATGCATAATGAAAGAGAGAGTGGCGAAATCTGATTCACTGCCAGCAGCGACGAGAGGGTCCTTACCCCAGCTCCTGGCCATATCCTTTGAGCTGTCTGTGTCATTGACGCTTATCAAAAGCCAGCGATCAAAGCCAGGGTTTTGTTTCCATTTAGCTGTTTCTGCTTCTCGCCTCCGCCTGTCTGCCTCAGTCTTCCGTCGCTGATAGGCATCGGAAAACTGATGCAAGCCGCACAGTGGGTCATAAATGGTAGTAGATTTTAATTCAAAAATGGTATAATCTGAATTCTCAAAAGTAACAAATGCATCCAACAGAAAACTGTGTAAGAATTCAGTAAGATTTGGTTTTTATTATTTGTTTTGCAATTATAATGGTCACAATCCCATCCACCGTCACCTGTCTGACTTCAGGCACACAGTTTGCCCATCTCTTGTTTATTCCTGACCAGCCAGGTCTTTCCTTTGCTCTGGCTTTCCTCTTACCTCAGAACCACAGCCTTTCATACATATATGCACGCCCATTGAACATCGAACGTCTGGTTTTTCTTCAGTTCTTTTAATCTCTACCACCCACTATTCAACCATGTAACCATCCAACCATAGACCCTCACCCTCCATGACAAACAGTTTAGCTTGGAACGATGAGCAACGAGCATGCATTAATAACTTTCTTGCTGTTGTAATTTTAGTTTGGTTTTTGCAGGCAGAAAAATTAAATGTCGTATTGATGTTTAAAACAATTCTTTTAGTAAACAATTTAAGTAAAAGCTTTAGTATAAGTTTTTTTCCGTATCGAAAAGCGTAGGTCCTTCAAGTCGGATTTAATTTATTGCGCAATTTATGATTTAGAAATTAACCCGTAAGCATTTAATTTAAAATTTAAGTGTGCGGTTAAATGTTTTCACTTCAGATGCAATACTTATAATTTAGAATTTTGTTTTTTTAGTCAGGTAATGATAAGTGTTAACATTTGTTTTCTGTGCAGCCGACACTAAATGCCCGACGCCGTCTTTTAGATGCCATTTTTTGGGGCTTGCGGTGCCGCCAACCCCACTGCCCCTCCGTGTCCCCTTTTTTTTCGCCTCTTCTTGGACAATTTATGAGGTCAATGAAATGCTTTTGCCGCCTGCTGAGCGCCTCCCGCCGCTCGCAATGGGAAATTCTGCCAGCAACGACAGCGGCGACGTCACCCAGCGTCTCCACCCCTGTGACCTCCTGAAATCCCCATCCACCCGAAAGAGACCCCGCCCCACCCCCCTGGGCCGCCAATGTCATTGGGGGCAATGTGTCTAAAGGCTTTTGCCTATTGCCTATTGCCTTTGGCCGCAGGCCATGAGCCATTTTCAGCCGAAGTTGCCAATTCAAAGAGGGCGAAGAAAAATGGTAAAAGAATAGGGAACAATATGAAAGGAGAAAAGCCTTATAGAGGGAAAACCACAACCCCTACAACTAGAGATTAAAAACTTTATCAAACTGGGCAAAGTGTTGAAATATCAAAGTAAAAAGCTATAAGTTTGTGTTTTTGGTATTATATTTTAGTTGGTTTGCTTATGTGTCATAATACTGAATTTAGTTAAATAAAAATGTTTTCTGGTTTTTATGGTCTTTATATTTTGTCATGCAAATAAATGTATTATTGTTAAAGAGACAATTAAATATTCCATATTTGCTAAAAGGTAATAACACCAAGCCTAATAATGACTTGTTGTTTGACCTTAGTAAAGTTGATGGCATAGGTTTATAACTTTAAAGTTATTTTATTATTATTTTTTTTTTTTTTGTGGCTTGTAAGCAGTATATTGATAGCAGATCTCTTTAGTTTGACTAGTAAAGACAACGGCTTGAGTTGATAAAATCAAAGTCTGGGGTCCTTTATGCTGCAAAGATTTGTAAATGTTTATTTAATGTTCGGCCAGACAAAGTTCTGTTTTTTTACTCCAATTTTTCTTTTCATAGTTTAGCTCGAGCAGCAGCAAAGTTTCCCAGCAAAAGAGGAAAATGTGGATGGGTTGGTTGATGGTGGAAAAGTGTGGGTCGTGAAGAGTCTTATATCTACAAATATATATATATATCGCCAGGGAACGGTTCTTTAAGCTGTTCGCCAAAGTTGTGCGCTTATACTGACATCCTTGTCGCCTTTACGACTCCAGCTCCACTTTCTGGCGCTGTTTCCATCGATTTTCGATGCTCCATCTGGGGAAGAAATGTCTGAGTTAATGGCCATTAAGTATTTTAAAGTGGGAGCGATCCAAAAAAGAGGGTTTCCCGAGATTACACAAAGTTTTGTCCTCTTTTTAAAGCCGATTGCTTGCCGCCTAAACGCAGTTTTAATCACACAATTGGGGAAAATTATACCATTAACCTAATTAATCAATAATAATAGGTAAATGAGTTATTCAAAGCAATTATTAAGGCACCATATTTCCATTTATAATACTTACAAATCTAAACTTTTCATTGTTTAGTGTGTCTTTCTTTATTGTTAATTATAAGTAATTAAAAAAACTGTAAGCTATGTGTTTAATAATTTAATAATGAACATTGTTAATACATTTTTGTTGAATCAAAAACATAATAATTTAAGCGCAAACGCCAGAATTTAAACCAATATGTTTTAACTTTGTATAGAAAACTAATTAACGAAAATCATATTTCCATTTTAGTTATTAAAAAATCATATAATTTATGCGAATGCGAAACTAATAGAGTGAACATAGTGCTCTTATTAATTAAAAAAACTTCAAGTTTTCATACAGTGAAACTAATTGGGAAACATGTTATGTTGTTTGGCAAAAATGAACTCACAGCAATACATTTGGTTTATCACTGAGAGGAAAAACTTTGTTAACAGTATTGGAAAATAATTTATGCATGCATTTATTTATATTCTGAATTTGTTTACTGCTGCGTTTTGAGCAGAATTTAATTTTGTTTGGTTTACAATTATGTTTATTTACATATAATTGGATAATAATCATAATTAAGATGGTGTTTGATTTTGCTATTTCTAAAAATAAACTTTTGGCGAATTTATTGAATGAAATTATACCGTATTTGCATTGATAATCGTTACTAATTAATTAGTTTTATATTTGAATTCATTTCGCATGTACATGCACTGAAGGCATGTATGCATATGCATATATTTGCGAGCATAATCCTTTCAAAATCGGAAATCCTTTCAAAATCATTCAACTACTTGGCCTTAGCTTTCCATTTCATCACAACTTGACACTGATGAGTGCACTCATTTGTATTCATTGCCCCTGGATCTATGGGCAAATTACGAAAAATTGCCGCTAAGCGTTTTAAATTTAGAACTGAGCTAGCAGAAGGTCAAATATGGCGGTGGGTGGGGTTCAAGGCTGTCGCGGGGGGGCGGAAGTGGGAGTGGGTGGGTGGTCGTTGGGTGATTGCGAAAAAGGGCGCTGACAAGTTTATTAAAAACTACGTCAACATTGGAGTGGGTTCGAGGTATTTGTGTGCTCGTGTTTGGGGCTAAAATGTCTTTAATCGCATTGCCAAACCAATGACAAGCACTAGTAGTTATAAATACCGAGAGACTTTGGGGGTTTAAGGATCAGGAAGGACAAATTAAAGTTAAACTTAAGTTAAATTAAACCTTAAACCAAGCTTTTTATTGGTAAATATGTAGTTTACAATTGATAACTGCATAATAACTCCGTTAAAAATATTTTTCTCTAGACCTTAGCACTGCGAAACCCAATCAAATACCTTTTCGCTGCCTAAATCAAGGTTTTATAGCTGCGCTTACTTAGTCACTAACCGAAAGTTGCCGTTAATAATTCAGGGATTGTGTGAGCGAGGAATTTTCAATTGAAGCCGTTCTCAAACATTTGCTTTGACAAACATCAAACAATTCCCTTCCTAATTCGCATCCCAGCTTCTGTGTATATTGCAAGATATATACATTGCGATGAATAATGTACCGAATTCATTTCGGGCCGCAACTCCCCAATCAATATGCATCCCCTACAGGACCACTCCCACATATATTTTTTTTTTCACTGCCCCAATAACCAGAACAAACTGCAGAATAAAAGTTCCCATTCACCAGCTCGAAAAAAAAAAAAAAAAACTTTGTACTACCAGCCAGCTGCAATAATCATGTTTTGCGTCAGGATGTGTGCATGTATATATATGTGGTTCAAGGATGCTCGAGTTTTATGTCCTATTTTTTGTGTTTTTTTTTTTTATTTTGGAACCAGAAAATCGAGGGCGAAAAGGAAATATTGTCCTTTGTGTATTAAAATGAAAGGTAGTAATTGGAAAAATTAGAAATAACAAATTCCTATTCCTTAGTTACTTAAAATATAAGTCTCTTCGGCATAAATATATTTTAACTCTTATTGGTTTTTATAGGGGTTTGGGGTTTTGACACATTTTGTGCCAGGGAAACAGCAGAGATTCGATGAAGTCATAGGGCCAACAATCTGGGGTGCAAAATGGATTTTTGTTGATATTTACTTTGGGTCTGCGTCATCTGAATGACACAATTTGATTTCGATAAGGATTCCACTATTGTTTGGAAATATTAAGATAAAATGTTCGGAAAGAAACGTCATAAAATGTGAGGTCGTTATGAGGTTACATTTATGCGCTTGTAAATCTGAAGGTTACAACTTGATATCGAATGCTTAATGTAATGAGCGAAAGTTTGTATTTATTTGTGTTAGATTGTTTTTTCATAATAAGTTATCTGGGAATTAAAAATTTTGGGGTTATAGGATCACTAGAAATATTTTTATGGCAACTCTATTTATGATGGCTTGATTTTATTTATTTAAGATCTAAGCTTTAATCGAAATAATGTGCAAACGAAATTGAAAAATGCCGATGACCATTGCAACAATAATAGCGCTGAATATTTAATAGCGCATTTCCTAGCATTACATGACAGCCCTGGCTGGCCATGTCTTTAAATATTCATCAATTGTTGATGTTATTATTTCACTTCCGGTTCGTTTGCGGCTGCCACGCGGTTCAATGAACTGTTGACACGGAATAACCCCCTTTCACCCCTCCATCTCCATCCCTCTTTCTCCGCATCTTTCTCGCTCGCTCGCACTGGCGAATAATTCGCCGGCAATGCAGACACGTATTGCCTCATATATACATATTTAGTTTGCCTTATTTTTTCCAAATGATTCCCCAATGATTGATGGGGCCCAACGCGAGCAACAGTAAAAGCCAAGTGATATGTGATTGCGACCGTTTTGCTATAGTTGTTCCTGCACTGTACAAAATCGGGGTATCATCTTAAATCGCTAATTTATTCTAAATTATTTCTTAACATTCAAAACTATAAATAGGGATCGCAAAAAAGTTTTGATAGTGCCCCAAAAATGATTATTTATATATCAAAATAAACAGACTTAATAAGAACTCAAGGTTAAAATTACAAAATATATGATTAGCTATTATTTTTATTTTTAAAATTTTGTTTAAAGCTTCAATAGTGTAAAAAAAAATGTCTTATTTCACAGTTGGTAGATGGGATTTTTGCCAGTGAATTATTGTTGCCAGAGGCAATTATGAAAAGCCACGCCAAGAAAGAAATCGTGCCAATGGCCTTCTAATGTGTGTCCCTTCGTTATTTTTTCTCTTCCTTAGCTGGTGCTCCATTTAAAGGATATTCCATGCCGTGCTGCTGGCTGAATAAGTAGCGCCGAGGAAAACGGTTACGGAATGGATGCGCGCCGGCAGAAACGACTTGGCCCAGCGCCAATTGCATCCTTCGAAAAGTCATTCGAGGACAATGCCACGACAAATGCACAGCACCAGAGCCAACACCAGCAGGAGCAACAGCATCCTGGCCATGTGGCGGTGAGTCCTTTAGCCTATTTACCTAACACACCACATCAGTATACAGTGAGCCCCCCTTCTGCGATATAATATTCAGAATTAAAGCAAGTTCAAATAATGGTAATTAAAAAAAAATAATTCAAAATTTAAAATTATAGAGGAAGTCTCAATGTCAACAAATTTAAAACACTTGTTAAGAAACTATAAAAATATGTATAGCAGAGGTACAAATTTGTACCAAATAATTTTAAAAATCTTACATTGAGTGAAAAAATCCCTTTTCTGTGAACTTAAATATTAAATTATTTTTTTGTAGCGACTTTTCTACTTTTCTTCACCAGATCATACCAAAATTTTGTAAAAATAAATTTTTGGAAACAGATTTTTATTGGTCGACCCACTTGGGGAGCAACCACTGTAATAGTAACTGTTACTGGCTCATGTCACATGCACATAATGCAGGGCTTAAATTAATTAACCAAAACATGAAATCAACTAAAGCATTCCTGGGCGCTGTAAGCTTGGCCAGAGCTTTCCGCTCTCCAAAAAATATGGGTGTATAAATGGGGGTGGCAATAGGTGTTGGGGGTTGGGGGGCTCAAAGGTTGGGGGCTGTGTGCCGCAATCATGCAAATGGCCACTTAAAAGGCAGGCAGGCAGGCCAAACGCTTGTGGCTAATAAACAAAATGAACCTTAAACGGCACAACAGCAGAAACGCCGAAAACAACAATGAAAATTGGTAAGCTATATCCGAAACACGCGCCTCGCAGATCGGTGACTGAAAAACCCCTGCGTTCGGCATGCGTTGGAAATTATTTTGGCACGCATCCGCCTCGAATGCGAAGTGCTCCAAATAATGTTATTTAGCCAGCGGCGAAGGGGACGCAGGACGGGACATGATAAAGCATTGGGAGAGGGAAAGAGGAAAAGAGGAACACAGTGCGGGAAAAAGGGATAGAGCAAGGGAATGAAGGAGTTTAATAAATTTAAATAAATATTTAAATAAATAAATAAAATAAATACTTATCAAACAAATTATATTCAGTTTTTTATGCCTTGTAATAGTATTCAATGGCCTAAACTTTAAATTAATTGTATCACAAATAATAAGTTTTTAAATGTATTTATATGCCATAAACTATTTATTGAGCGGAGTGCAGCTATTTAATTGCCCGTCGCTGTATTCCCTGTCGCAGTCGCACCCACACGTGCACATGGCTAGTTGACTCTTGAAGCTTCGCAGGCGCCACAGCTGAGTCCTTAGAGCTTTACGGCCTTTCTCTCTCCTTCCCCCTTCTCCTCTCTTTCTTCGAAGCTTTCGGCCATGCATGCCGAATTGAAACTACAGAGATAGAGAGAGAGAGCGAGGTAAAGCAAAGGAAAAGCGAAAACGGCTAAGCTTTCGTCGCATTCCCATTCACATTTAACGTTAGCATACTTTTCGGGGCAGTTCGACGCTGGCGCTGCGTGCGTGCGGTCTAACGGTAAACGGAGGTCGTCCTACGAAGCGAGAGAGAGCTCGCGTGCGTGTGTGTGTGTGTGCCAGCCAGACTTTAGACAGAGACAGCCGAAAGCAGTTAGCTGGATTGAGCAGCCTAAGAGATAAATTTAAAATAGATAAAAAAACGGAGCAGAAATCACACTTGCTGGCATTTATCGTTCCACCGTTCTCTTTTTTTGTTGTTGTGCAAATTGATGCAAAATTAATAAGGACCAGTAATACACATACACGCACACGTGGAGAGGACTTTTTCGGACCGCGGTGAGTGTGTGTGCGTGTGAACAATAAACAGAAAGCAAAGCATGCGGCTCTCTCTTATCCTCTTTCAGCCTAACCCCCGTCCCCTTCCTTCGTTCTCGCTCTCTCTCTTCTCCTTAAGTTGCTTTTTATTTAAATTTTAATTAATTTAATCACACGTTTGTGTCACAGCCTCTTCTTTCTCTCTCTCTGTCTCTCTCTGGTTTTTATTCTCCTCCTCTTTCTCCCAATCTTGTTTCATGCTGCTATTCTTTTGGCTAGAATTATGTTACGATTTGTCCCAAAACACTTGCACACATATCCTGCCTTTGCCTACCAAAAAAGAAATGAAGGAATATACGTTATTTTCTTTTCTGTACACCACAAAAACAAAAGGCCAGACATTTTTGGGGAAGGGGGCTTCGGCGTATTTTTTTCGGGTGTTTTGGAGTTTTGGGAAGTTTTTTCAGGCATAGGCTATGCCTTTTCAAGTATTATACGGCTACGAGATTTGTTTGGGACTACGGGATCTCTATGGTGTTCTAGGTTTTGGGTAATTTTAATGGTGTTATTGTGTACTTAAGGATCTTGACCGGTTTTTAGAAAGTTCATTTAGTTTTTCGGGGTTTGTCCGAAGTTTTTAAAGGTTTTTATGAAATAATGTTAGAACGATAGTACTAATGCTCTTAAGGGTTATGGGAACTTTAAAGAGTTAGGATGTGATCCTCTAACAGACCTAAAAACATTTCCAGAAAGGTAATTATGATGATTCCTTTTGTTTAGGTAGTTTCGGAGCTTATGAGCTTAGCAGTATGTATCGGATCTTACAGATTTATCGATGTTTCTGTGTTTCTAAGCAGTGAAAGCCTCCAGTTCACGCACAGCACGCCCTGTGCCTTCAATTTCGGAAATCGTTGCATAGCTGCCAGCGTCAACTTTAAATTAATTTGTGTCCCAAGGTCCCGCAAATACAATAAACGATACCACCCTCTGCATAAAGGCGCCATGTGTCAATCATGCCATCCACGTCATGTGCATATCCCATATCCCATATCCCAAACCCCTCCCCCGTCCCCCAACTGTATATCTACATATATACATCCCCGTTTGCACCGCTCTTTATCACCATGCCCGTCCACACTTTTTGCGTGTGAAAGGATTTCTTTCTCCTTGAGCGCTTTTAATGCGAGTGCAGCATCACAGAAAAAACTGTGAGAGTCCCCTTGTCTGTTGCTCCAGTAAACTTAAGACCTGCACCCACCCACCCACACAACTTGAAAACTTAAAGCCCGCTAATGGTGTTAGCCAAAGACTTTAGACCCCGTACATGAAAAGAGGTCTCATAAAGTCGCTCCGTGGCGCAAAGTTATTATCTCGTACCTCCGATTTTGAGTTTTTTAATTATTTTATGCGGATACTTCAAAAGTGACAAGAGGAAACTGTTAGCTGAGGGAAGAAATTATCATTTCCTTTAAGTAAAATACCAAAGAAAGTACAAAGTTTCAATAATAAAGTTTAGTTATACATACGTGGTTTTGATCAGATTTACAAAAATACCCATCTATCACATGTCATAAATAAAAAAATACAAATCACTAACAAAGATGATTGCTTAGAAAACAAATCCATCTTCAAGGTAAAGCTTTCTGAATAATTTGTGAAATAAATACCCGTTTGTCATGGGTGTTTATCGTGCTCATTCATTACCGGGAATATGGCCAGGAGGCAACGTGTCCCATTGAGTTCCTGGGATTTCGACCAGATGCTCGTGTTTTGGGTGTTGTTTTCCCCAAAGCAAATTCGACGTCCAACGCAAAACCCTTTAATTATAATCGCCTCTGCGAAACAATTGCGAGACCACAAGGCCATGGGAATCGGATAGACAGAGCAAATCATCGTTTCATTTAAAAATCACATGTGGGAATAAGGTCAGAGTGAGAAGCGGAAAGGGGGAAAATCCGCTGAGAAAACGCCGCGGGCAGCTCGACATGTAGAATATATGGGGAAAACTGTGTGAAAAGCGTTTGATTTCAATTTGTGAAATGCAATCCGAGGGGAGATTATAGCGGGTGGTCGAGCCAGCCCCCAATGGAATCAAACTAGAGGTTTTCTATTCTATTCCGTTTTTCCCAGGGTTTTCCATAACCTAATGTAGGGTCCCTTGACATCCCTGCGATAAACAATTAGATTTCATATTTGTAATGTAAATGCAGTGCACAGATAAGCATCTTTATGTTGTAATCTCATTTTTTTCAATTTAACAGCAAACCAACAAAACCAGACAAACGACTATGTAACAAAATTGGGACTTTGTGGTTCCAATAGTTCGACACTCTGTCTTTCAATACATATCATTAGACTACAGTTTGCACCTAAAGTACAAACTTTCGAGTGGTCTTGCAACTAGATTGCAAAACGTACTTTTTGGCAGCTAAAGGTGACAGTTTGAATTGTTTTGTAACTATTTAGCTGCAATCCTATTGGACAGTGCGTGATTCTGCTGTTTTCAACTTACTTTACATTGCCAAAGAATCTTCGAAATTCAAGAAAACTTTTATGTTTAATAAATATTTGTATTAATCAGTTGGTAGTTATTTCCTTAGCTGTTTTTGACATATTTTAAATTGACAAATGATATTTGAAATTCAAGAAAACTTTTATGTTTAATAAATATTCATAAAAGTTTGAACTTTAAATATTAAGAAAACTATTTGGAAGTTTTTGATGAAAAATCCGCCAATGCGCCTTTTGGGTAGGCAACATAATTTTTCAGAGGATTGGTTTTTAGGATAGTTATAACTTTTCTCAACTTTTGACTTTTTGTTGACTTTTTAATTCATAAAGATTCTTTTTTTTTTTAATTTTTTCAGATGATGGAGCAAAGTGTGCGAAACCAAACAACGATGTCGACGACGGCCAATCGGAATAGAACCGCCGGCGGCATAGAAGCACCCAGCATAGCCGCTGCATCTGGACCCGTCAATGCTGGTGCAAGTGCAACTGCTTCCGCAGCATCCGCAACATCCGCCTCCTCATCCTCCTCGTCATCGGTTTCATCGGCCACTTGCTCGGCAACAATTGTCCAGGCGAAACAGCGACCGCCGCCCCTTAAAACGGCGACGACAACGGTGACCACCACTCTGGTGAGCAGCAGCGAGGGCGGTCAGCCCCTGCCACCCACCGCCCACTCGGGGTCCGGTGGTCCAGGCGGTGCAGGGGTGGGGAGTGGTGCCAGCTATCGCGGCACCGCCACCCTGACCACGCCCTCAACGCCCCGCATCGAGCTTAGTCGCGCCTCCAGTTCGTCGCATCACGAGGAGGACAGCCGGGAAAGCAGTCCGGAAAATGTATTCGACCAGGTGAGTGCACCGACTTTCCATACTCACTTCAGATGGGGCATAAGGTATATGGGCCATAAAACATTTACCTAAGGGTAAGGTAACTCATAGAAATTGTTGTTGAAATCAGATTTATATACTCTTATCAGCTATTGCTTCTTGTTAAATAATAGTTACAAGGTCTAAGATCATTCAAAATTGATTAATGTTAACAACTACTGAAATCCAAATTATAAATTAAATGTTAAAGTAAAGATTTATTGTTAACCATAAACTTCAACATATCTGGAACACAGATGGATTTTTAGGTACACTGATTAGGTACTAAGATCAATGTCAAATAAGAATTAAATGTAAATATTTAAAGTCAATGCAAAACTTCAACACAAATGGATTTCTAATTCAATTTTTAAGACACAATTACTTAACTATCTACAAACAAAGGCCAACAAAGAAATTCATCGATAATTTCTATTTTAGCCTTTTGTCCTCAACAAAGTAATACCTTATGCCCCAAATGAAGGTAAACAAATTGATACCTTTCCATCGCTTATGGGTGGGTTAGGTTTAAGGTGGTGGTTAGGAGGCATCATCTGGCGCTAATTATTTTGTACTTTGCTCTTGATTGCTTCTTTTGAATTCGTGTATCTGTTTTGTCGCTTATTCCATTCAAACATCAATCAATCGTGCCTTAACCATTTTCATCGATATGTATATCATCGTAAATATATGTATATGTGTACATCTGTCTCTTTCTCTGTCTGTAACACTCTGTGATGCGCTCGCTACCCTTTGCACACACACTAAAATTCCCGAACGAACCACAAATCGAATCCTGCACACAAATTGGCTGTTGATTTGTTGATTTCGTTTCTGTTTTTGACTTATTGCTCCACTACCTTAACCACCATGCATGCTTCTTAACCCCCAACCACACCCATATCCATATCCACATCCACACCTGACCCTTTGCCTAATCCCCGAACGAATAAACCAAATTAAAAAAAAAAAAATCAAAACAAAACAAAATCAAACCGAATCGAATCGAACCGAACCGAAAACAAACAAACTATCGCTCTGACATAACGAACCGTTCGACAATCGACAATGGACAATCGACTCGATGTGTGTGTGTACTGGCTGGTTTATGTGGTTGAACTAATGCTCTGAAGGTCGGAACTGGCACCCTACAGGAAACGATTGGCCTTGGCTTTCGGGAGGAGGGTGCCCTCGAGCTACGCAGCTCCACCGAGGAGCTGTACTTCATGGATCCCGAGCAGAAGAAGGAGGAGCAGGAGCGGATCCAGCAGCAGCAGCAGCAGGTGAGCGGGGATCTGCCACCAATCGGGGCACAAACCTTAAAAGAGCAGCATCGATAAACTATCGAAATGCACACGATATTTCACAAACATTTCGATGACAACTGATCAAGTAGATAAAACAATTTCGATAACAAAAACACGATTACTGACAACAATTACACTTGAAAAAACAGAAAGACTACAAACATTTTCAATGATTAGGCTACCTATCAACTAATTTTAATTAAATCTTTAAATTGCCAATTTGAATTTCACACGATATATAAAACAGTATCAATACCGATAAACTATCATTATCGAATAAGCCAGGCTGTCTTATTTCCTAACACATTAATATCCTTAGAAAATGTTACATAACAATTTGTAAAAATTTTTTAGTTCAGGCACTTAAAGCTAAGCAAGAAACTAACTTATGGCATTCTCTCTGAAATCCCAATAATTGATTTAAACCCTCTTTAGATATTACAATATACGTTTATGCAACTCAATACCTACTTCTTCTCTATATACTAAATACGTTTTATTTTAAACACATTTGCGACGAGGAAGCTCGTTATTTTTTCAAGTTGCATCGACATTTCCTATTTAACAAGCGGATGGGCATAACTTTGATGGGGTCGGAAAGGGTTTTGTTCGGTTCTTGGGGGTCGTAGGTCGTGGGTCGTGGGTCGGGGTCAGAGGATGACGGGCCGGCAATGGCGATGGCGATGGCGAAGGCAGCCGGATGGCAGACAGTAACCGCATCGCAAGTTGAATTAATAATGCAAAATTGCATTCGAGTGGCTGGCAAGTGCAGCAGCAGTAGTGCAGTAGTGCCATCAACATCAACATCAACATCAACGGAAATGACCGGGTTGGCGATGGTGGATGGTGGATGGCGGATGGTGGATAGCGGATGGTGGATGGCGGATGGACGAGTAAGCACCGAGTGACAGCTGACAAGTGTAACCACCCAACAAAAACGCAAGTCCATTGCCATTTTCCCCTACTGCAGCCTCAATTTCCCCGCAGTTGCGATTGTTTGGCAAAAGTTTATTCCTGCACTCGGCGGGGCGAAAAGTTTGTGGAAATTATTAACAGCCATCGCATCCCATCCCAGGCCAGTTTTTCCTTTTTCCCGGGCGAAATGAGTAACTTTGTCAGTCGGCGAGGCGTCCAAACTTATCAATTGCTGGCAGAAAGTGGTCGAGATGCGGTGAGGTGAGGTAAGGTGAGGCTCGTGGTTAATTGCAAAAAGTTACAATTGATTAGTTGGACGCGTGACTGCCTTAATTGGCCCCAAGGAAAACCGTAATTAAGTGAAGGTCATTGCTAAAGTGTTTTGCAAATAAAATAATATCGATATTAAACTCATTTTCGATGTTTAGAGGCACTTAAAAAAATATACCTTTAAATAAAACTAAAAGTAAAATATTGACGATAAAAATGTTTTAGCAACGTAAAATATAGAAATTTAGGTAACTGAACATAAAACATAAATAAGTATGTTTACATACATATGCATATATGATAGTTTAATATATGAAACCGTATTTCCACCGGAAAAATTTAATTAACTAACGAAAGCCAGCGACAAAGAAACCAATGTCAATAACTTAGGTAGCAAGTCGAAAAAAAAACGTGAAAAACCTGTCGAACACCGGTCATTTCCCAATGGCATGCGAAATGCAGTTCTATCTCCAATCCGCTGTTTTCCCTTTTTCATTTTCCACTGCCACTCCTCGCCTTTGTACTCTCGTTCTGTTTGCCTTGGTTGATTGGCAGCCGCGGGTAGTGAGTCCAGAAGTCCAGAAGTCCAGATTGAATAGCCGCGATTGACGTGGAGCCGACTGGAATCCCATGATTGCCAACGGACGAGTGTCCTTCGCCTCTATTTCCTTTATTTAGTATGTACACTGAACGAAAATTAGTGCGAAAAATGGGTAAAGCACTCGCCTTCATTTAGTGCACTTTCCTTTTTATCTTTTTGACTTTCGATCTTTTGTTAGATTTAAGCTAACTTCTATCTTGGAATGTCGTCTTTCTCATTTTATACTATAAATAAATAAGTTCCTACATATCTCAGACCATATATTTTAATCTATAAGTTTAACCTATTCGAAAATTTTTAAATACATTTTCTGGTTACTCGAATTGTATAAAACATATAGAGTAAATACCAACACTAGACAAAAATGTTTACTCTTACTGTAGTGCTTTATTTTACTGAATCTTATTCTATGACAAGATTACTAGATTTTTTGTATTTTGTTTAATATTTTTATTGTCAACTCAGAAGGTATTCAATATACGTTTTGACATTGTAAATACCTCAGTCACAATTTGTTGCCAACATTTTAAATGAAAATCCCCAGTCCTCTTGGGTTTCAAATAATGTTTCTTTCTCATAATGTAGTGTTCCACTTTTCTGGTTTATTGCTTACTCCAGCGTTTGAAATTCCACGTCAAGATTATGAACCACGGATACACACGTTACCGGGGGGTGTTGGTGTTACATTGAGTTGAAGTGACAGGGTTTTCATCTTGTTATTGTGCTGCACTGCATCCTCTGACAGACTTCACTCTTTGTTTGCAGGCCAAGCGCTCGTCGCCGCACATCTTCAAGTTCGACGACCACCAGAGTTACCTGCAGCAGCACCAGCGCAAGGATTCGGCCAGCTCGGAGGTAGCTGCGCTGCTCTGCATCTCGGGTCGCACCAGTCGCATCTCGAGCGTGGGCAGTCAGGGATCGGCGGTGAGTCGCCTCTCGGCGATATCGGGTGTCTCGCGTTCTCCCTCGCCGCATCGCATGCTGCTGGAGACCTCGTTCTGTGGCCCCAAACCGGTGGAGCTGGGCGGTGCCAGTGGTGGCGGTGGCGGTGGAGGTGTTGCTGGTGCTGGTGGTAGTGGTGCCTCCACCGCGGCCAGTTCGGCCCACAGTCGGGCGGAGGGAATGCCAGGTGCTGGCACGGTGGCTGCCAATGCGGCCCTGCTCGAGCAACTGCTCTTGGCCCGCAAACATGATCCCACCCAGGCTGTCCTGGCCGAGGGCATCAAGGTCCTGCCACCCGCGCCAACGGGTTCCGGCTCGGCGAGCACCTCGAGTCGCGGCCGGAGCAGACAGATGGCCAATGGCCAGGATCGGATAGAGAAGGATGTGCCGAAGATGAAACAGACAATTGGCGCCCAACGTAGGGGCAACAAGAGTCCGGGTCAAATGGTTGTGGGCAAGACGGCCAGCGGCACGGAGTACATACGGATTAATCTGCGACCGGATCACATGTACAGTGACAAGGGTATAGCCTCCAATGAGCGCGTGGTGGAGGCACCCAACCAGCTGGCACCGGTCTACTCCAAGCCCGCCTCCCTCAGTCTGCAACAGGCAACAGGTGGTCCCATCGAGGAGATCCATCGCCTAACCCCCACGGCCAGTCCCAAGCCGGGCAAGCGATTGACCAGCCGTTCGCCCTCACCCGCAACTGGAGGAGCTGGCGGAGCAGGTGGCACCGTTTCCCGCAAGAGCTCCTTCAGCTCCCTCTTCCGTTTGGGCAAGGACTCACCGGATTCACCAAGGGAAACGGCTCGCTCGCGTAGCAAAAGTAAAGAGCGACCCGCCACGGCCTCAGGCGGATTGGGTGGCGAGCGAGGCGGAGGCGCTAGTGTTGGTGGCGGTGGCGGTGGTGGTGGCTCCCAGAATGTAACGCCCAGCAAGCAGAAATCGGTGTTGGCCATCTTCAGGCCCGGCAAGCGGGGCAGTCAGAGCAGCAAGAGCTCATCGCCCATAGAGTGTAGTGCGGAGCCCGTGCCGCCGCCACCACCACCTGCTCCCGGATCATCGGGGTCGAACAACACCACTACCAATCGGAGTCGCACCCCAGCCGGATCGCGACCCGGCAGTCGACTGCGCTACTACGATGAGCCGGTGGAGGGGGTGATCCACATACCACTGCACACGCCGCCGGAGGAGCGCGAGGCTCGCACCCTGCTGCAGGGCATCCAGCAGTTGACCCACGCCGCCCAGGCCAGCATGGACCCCAGCCCACTGCCCACCCACCGAGCTGCGCCCACTGCCGTCGCGCCAGCCGGCACCCAGATCATCACGGCCACCCAGTTGGCGGCCGCAGCGGCTGCCCTGCGTCCGGTGGCCCAGCGGCGGGTGGCCCAGCGCCCGGATCTGGATGCCATTCAATCGCTGCCCAGCCAGGAGGATCCACCCATGGAACCGGGTGAGGGAAATGCCACTGGCACTGGCACTGGCTCTGGCAATGGGAATGGGAATGGTGAGCAAATGATGGCACAACAGGCTGAGCCGACGAACTGGAGCCTGGAGGTGCAGCGGCACAGTTCGCAGGACTCGCAGGAGACGACGGTCGATTCGGTGGGCTCGGTGGTCAGTGCCCGGGCGGCCAATCTGGCCCAGCAGCAGCGACTGCCGTCGGTGGAGAGCACGCAGAGTGCGTGCGAGCCGCGGCTGGTGCACACGGTGGCCACCGTCAATGCCCATCCCAATCCGGACTTGGACTTGGCCGCCGCCGCCGCTGCGAAGGAGCGCCGACGTCTGCTGTTCGCCACTCGCTTGGGCTCCGGCAGCCAGGAGCAGCTCTTCTCCACCCAGTTCAGTATTTCGAAGACCGAAAGCCAGTCCAGCCAGTTGTCCGAGCAGGTGGAGCATTCCGGTTCGGAGACAACGGATGGATTGCAGCGCCAGGGCACCGTGATTCGGAGAACGGAGAACTCCGGTGGCGCAGTACCACCACCGCCGCCGCCACGGGGCGTTTGCAGTTCGGAGGAGGAGCAGGGTGGTGGAGTCATGGCCGGCACGGTGGTTATGCGCTCCAAGCACAAATCACGGCCCAGTTCGGAGGACGAGGCTGCTCCGGCAGATCTGCGACACTCGCGTTACTTGGAGAATTTCGATGTGCGCCGCAAGCTGCACGAGAATCTCACGGAGGCGGAGATTTCACGAAAGGCCGAGTTGCCAGGTGGTCAGGTGACACCCATTCCCAGGAAGCCAAAGCGACAGAGTGTCCCAGAATCAAGACGTAAGTGGATAAGCCCAGGTCACAGAAACCGCCAGAGATCTGAAGTCACTATTGTCTCACAATCATTCAGTAATGAAAGTAAATTATATAGTTGATTGCTAAGATTTCTACAGATTTCTGTTTTTCCTGTTACTTCGCCTTAATAAAGATCCTATTTTTTTGTTTTAGGTGAAACCACAAGCTATAGTTCTGGTACTGCCACGCCCACCACGCCCACACCAACGCCAATGGTTCAAACGGGTCAATGTCAAACCAAACAGCCACCGAGCTCTGCCACCACTCCCACAAACACTGCAGCTCAAGCGTTCACTCCACCCGCTTCCACTTCCTACACGGGTGCTCCAGTCACCACCTCCATCAATGAGCCACTGGGCACTGCCTACAGCACTTCCTATAAGGATCCATCGTTTAGGGATCCGGCAACCACTGTCCATCACGATCCTCTGACCTCAAGAACTACGGATCCCATGCTCACCTCCCCGCCAGCCGAACGTCGCCATTCGCAGTCAACGGATGAGCACGAGCCCGTGGAGTCGTCGGAGAGTGAAAGGGATTCGGATATGGCGGGCAGCTCGTCGGTGACCACGGCAGTGCCGGCGGGCGGAGAGGCGGGCCGGCGGCATCACAACTTTCCGCGCAACGTGTGCGTGATCGAGGAGCACGAGAGCACGGGCCTGGTGTCGCAGGAGTCCTTCGAGGACGAGCTGCCCTACATACCCACCACGCTGCCCGAGGAGCGGGCCCAGGGTGTGCCCATAATACCCATGCGGGAACGGGCCAATATGGAGCTGAAGACCTGTCCGGTGGACAGGCCACGGTCCACCACGCCGCTAAATCCCTCGCATCTCGAGGAGTACTGTACGGGGATCATGACGCCGCAGGAGGTTACTCCAGGTGGTGGTCATCAGGAGCTCGATGGTGCACTAGCCATGGGCACTGGAGGTGTGGCAGTGGCCGGAACTGCCGCAGGAGCTCCTGTGCGTGGGGAAAAACTGAGGATCAGTTTGCCGCGCAAGGAGTCTGTCGGCAAGGAGCGCATCCAGAACTCCAAGTCGCCGCGTCGTGTGTCCAACACCAGTGGCAAGTCCTGGTTCGAGTTCGCCGAAGAGGGCTTGCGGGCCAATAACAATCTGGAGCGCAAGGACTCCGCCAAACAACTGCTACCCGTGGTCACACCACCAGCTCAATCAGCTCCCACTTCAGCCAATTTGGAGGAGCCCAAGCCAAAGGCCTCAACCCAACGAAAACTCTCGGGTCATTGGATCGATTTCGAGAACATACCCGAGAAGAGGAAACCGGCCAAGCGGATCACCACCTTGCCCAAGGAGACGTTGACGAGCAGCGTGGTGGCCATGGCCACCACCAGTTCCTCCTCCGCCTGTGGCAGTGGTCATCGCTCCGGATCTGCTTCTGCAACCGGCCACCATCATCATCATCACCACCATCATCAGCATCAGCAGCAGCAGCAGCAGCAGCAGCAGCAGCAGCATTCAACCAAAACGAGTCCGGAGGGAGGCGATAAGTTGCACTACAACTATGTGAAGCCGGAGGACTGCCAGTGCGAGTGTCACGAGGTGGAGCGTGGTGAATCCTCGACAGCAACGGCCGGAGCAGGAGAGTCCAGCACGGAGACGGGCACTGGAACGGGCACAGGCACAGGCACAGGCACAGGCACGGGCACGGGCAGTGAGTCCCTGGCCTCCGTGGAGCTACTGCAGCAGGGCGAGGATATGTTGCCACTACTCGATCCCGACACTTCCGCGGAGGGCAGGTGAGTGGACGGGAAAGTACAATATGCCTTCAAGTCACCAAGAGCTCGTTGAATCTTTGCAGAATTTATGGGGACGAAGAACAGGCGCCTCTAGTAGTACGTCACAGTGGCAAGGGTGTCTCCTCCAATTCCAGGGTAAGTAAAGCCAAGGCAATCAAAGCTATTGATTAAGAGAAAAACAAATACAAAAAAAAGGTATTTTTTAATAACAAAATACCATCCCACATAACCTATACAAATTTGATATTTTCGAATACTTTCCTAATTTTTATCCACTTGCCAATTTCAGACCCAACACGAGGAGTTTCCACGCCGCGACAATGGATCTAGTCCTCGTAATCGCAAGTTTCCCGACAGAAAGTAAACAGCTGGTGGCAAACTCAACATCTCTTCTCGGTTCAAACTGGTTCGGGATCGGTTCTTTATAGATCTTCAGGGTAGCTAAGCCGGTAATCTATCTCTATCTGTGTAAGTCGAGTCACTAAACTAAGGGCCAGCGTGTCCTCCTGGCCTATATCCTTAATGTACCTCAAGCAGAGTGGTTGTTATACGTGCAAAAGCCGAGGAACAATGATGCGTATTACCTTTCGACTCGATTAGTTGACAAAACAAAAGAATAACTCTATATGGAATATACAAATACAAAACAAAAGCAAACAACTCAAACATATGATAATATGCATACGATACTCGGTACTTTATAGCTCATGAATGTACATGGTTAGGGTAATTTTTTTGATAGCAACAATTACAACACTCACTCTATATAGCAATCCTGACGGATGGAGGAGATGGTCGATCGTTTTCCCTAGAAACTTTTCGCTGGCAATTTTACTATATGTGATCTCTCGGATAAAGTGTTATACATATGTATGTGTGTGGTCGATGGGACGTTGGACATCCGAACGGATTCTCTAGCTATAAGTCGGTGTATTTGTGTGTAGTTTGTTAACTAGCTCAGACAAATCGAGAAACCAGAAACCAGAATCAAGAATCCCTAGGCTAAGTCAAATAGTCTTTATCTATATCGGTATCTGTGTCTGTGTCTGTATCCGTTTCCATATATGTAGCTGCGTGCGTGTGTGTGTGTTGTGGAGATCAATATCTCTTTGTAGCACCATCCTCCCGATTTCGACCCATATCTCTAGAGTCTCACAATGAGACACGTTATTCAAACGATCTATGAACGAGTTGTAATCGTTTTCAGTTGGTTATACGCAAAAATTAGCCTGATTCATATGTAGCCTTTAGTTGAGTTCGAAGCGTTAGTTAGTTAGTTGGCCCCGATTTACTGGGTGTGTTGTAAATACATAAGTCTAAACTAGATTACAGTATTCGAAAAAAATTGATTTTGACAATTTTTTTTTTTTATTTGCGAAGCAAAGGAATCTTCGCTAAAAGTTTTTGAACTTTTAATCGAGTTTGTTATTAAATATACATGAATATTATTATATAGCCAACAAACTGCCAGCACACACACACTTGCCATAAGAGAAGTTCCTCCTTTGTTTTTGTTTTGGGGGTAACCGGTTGAGCGAACCGCTGTTTGGTGACCCCGTTCGGTTTATGCGCCCCAAACATCATGATACGAATACGATCTATAAACTAGCTTCAAAGAAAAAGTCGTGTCCCTAAAGGGACATCCTTTCACAAATTCTCATACGAAAAATTGAAAAATAAAAACCACACCCACTAGCTAGCCTTTGAAATTCCTAAATACTTTATTGAACTTAGCGGACAACGGACATTCATTGAAATGAAGCAAAATTAAGCAAATAAAATTTAAATTAATATTAATGCAAATTAAGGAAAACTTATAGGTAAATTATACAATACATAAACAGCATTGAAAACGTGCGAAGCGGGTTAAGAAGTAAATGGGAGCTTGCATCAGAGAACTGTACGAGTTTATCGAAAGAATTTCAGAGCCCCATAAACCCCCAAAAGGGAATAACGTAATGGATAACTTTTTTGTATTTTTTTTTTTTGGTAGCAAAAGTGGTGAAGCACAAAATGCACTCGAAACATATACGATATATAGACATAATGGCGAATCCAAGCAAGATCTTGATAAATTGTACAATAATTTCCACAATACATTTATGTGAGAATAAATATATATTCAGATATACAAATCTATATGTATATGCATGTACACATAAGTTGCGTTTTCAATTTCCGATACTTGTTCTCAATACCTTTTTTAATCGTTTTCGAATAAAGATTTTTTTTTGTATAACTTAGACAAGCCACGAAATTGTTGTTAAAAAATGCATTTACATTACAAAACGAAGACGAGTTAAACGTTTAAATAAGCGAAGGAATATGATAAATTGTTATCGAAATTTATGCATTCATACGAAAACAAAACCAGATGGGTTAGGCAAAAAGAAATAAAATAATAAATATATATGTATGCACTTTCATTATTTTACGATTTCATATAGACGAAGATGATGATTATGATGAGAAGGAGACAGAACATTAATTGAAATCTACTCATTAAAGCGACAAAAACATATTTAAACAAACTGTGTGTGCGGTTTTATCTGGGGCCTTGTCTATATCATCGAATATCATCGGGGCTTATCGATTCGCGCCCGTTATTCACATGCGACTTGGACATGAGAATTGGACTCTTATCGCAATCTGAGGCTTAAACAGCCCACCGTTGGCAATCGATCATGATTACGGCTATTTAACATGCATATAGGGCTCAGCCAAAAAGCAGCACTCCGATTTAAGATAACGACATCAAATGATTGCGAGCTTCTGTTCCGATCCGCACCTCCCAAAATAAACGGTAAGGATTATTAATAAATACAAACATATTTTTTAAAGAATAGAACATAAGTTTAAAATTTAAATTTTGAAATAACAAAAATATACAGTGGGCAAAACAAGTTAACCAACATTTTATATTAAGTTCCAGTACAAAGTGTACTTCAACTTTTTTGCATTCATAGTTTCTTTGGAAAATATATTCCTTTGTGTATTAATTGATAGGTGCATAAATGTTTACAAATATTTGTTGCTTGACCTCTATATTAAACATTACAATATCGCGCGGTGAAACGGTCAACTTAAATAAAAACATCATTAAAAAAAATCCATGTATCATAATTAAATTTTGTTGGACTTTGTTTTTTTGGCATGATTTTCGCGTTTTGGCGCCACGTATAAACGTATTGCACTAAGCGCCGCTCTCACAGCGCATGCGCGCTCTCTTTTTCTCGACGGAGAGTGAGAGCACATCTCCCACTACAAGTACACACAGAAAAATTATGAGGGAAGTTGGTCAGTTGTTTCTGATATGATACGATATTCTTCAAAATGATTTTATTTATAAACTTAAGTTAAATTTGGTAGTGCTCTTTTTCACAAATAGCCAAATACTTATTTACTTACGTAATATAGTCCCTGTTGATTCTTCTTGAAATCATACTTTTATTTTAATATTATTTATTGTTTGGACTATTTTTTTTTTTAAATTAAGGTTGAAATACACATGAACAATGTATATGAGCAAGGGTAACAGCGCGTATGAGTAATAAAATTTAAGGAAAATGCACAACGTCCAAAAACCCATTACAAATTTTATTTGGCTTTTGTACAGCATAATGGTATCAAGAAGCAAGGTAATTTATGTGAATATAAGAACGAGAAACGACAACAGTGCGTATGAGTGTTAAAGTTTAAAACAAAATCGCAGAGTTTCAAACAGTTTTAATTCATACAAAAACAAAAAACGCTTTAAAAATAAAATTAAAATATTTGCAAGACAATTGAGAGGTAGTAATATAAAAAATATTACAAACAATATTGATAGGTAATAAAATATTTTTAATTTTCAAGCCCATTTGGTAAATATAACAGATATTAAAATAAAATTCGATAAATGCATTTCTCTCAGTGCTCTCTCCCGCCAGCCGGTCAGCGTATAAGTAGAGGCGGCTAAAGCGGGACGGCCTCAAAACGAACAGAGCCATCGAACGGTAAACGTCCACGCGCAGCGAATTTTTCTCCCCCGCAAACCAAACCAATAAAAGAGACGAACGAAAATTAAAGGAAGACAAGAAAAGAAAATCAAAACAAATTGAGAGCAGCAATAACAGTCAGGGAGTTTATTTCTTTTTGTTTTGTGTTTCCAAAAGAGAGAAATAGAGAGTGATCGAGATGGCGTTCATGATGCCCGTGATGAAGAACAATTACGATATTTACAAGGACACGCGTTCCCGCAAAACATCGGAATGTTCAAATGCGAGTAGTAACGGTACAACGGCTTTGGCCACTGCTCTTGGAACGCCCGCTCTGGAAAAACAACAGCAGCAACAACAGCAAAGACGTCGCAAGGTGTCCGAATGCAAATCGGAAAGTTTCGCCACCTCCCCCTCCCACGGTCAACTGGGCGTGTCCTCCGCCCACCATCGAATGCAAATGCAGCGATGTCACAGTTCGCGCGCTTTTCCACGCAACGCCTCGCGCAGTTCGCACGGTTCGATGCAACAAATTGTGTCGCCCACGCGCAGTAGTCCGCCCAGTCGTTCCAATACCGCTTCCGCACTGGAAAGGCAGGCGGCTGCCCAAGCAGCCGCTCTCAACCAGAAACAACAGCCGTCTGGAGCAGTGGAATCTTCTTCCAATGATTATACGAAATTCCATTTGCGTTTGGTGGACAAGCTGCGCAAATCCTTTCGCAAGGATAGCGGCAAACGGTCATGAGAATATCACAACAACAGCAACAACAACCACTACGACAACAACAATGCCAGCAGCAGCAGCGCGGCGCTCCTTTCAATCAACAACAACATAAGTGGAGGAAGCTGGGAAGCAAAAGAGGCAGATGATTCCAACGGAAGATCACCTGGCCACGGCCATGTCTTAGGGGAGAGCAGTGCAGCTAGCACTGTGTACGGAGGAGAATGCAGAGCAGCTACACCCTGGAAGAAAGCAGCCGCCACTTCCTTCAACGAGAGCAGGACAGCTGGAGTCTTTGAAGAAAGCGGAGCAGCCAAAGAGCGAGAGAGAAGTGTGGTCAGTCGTTTGGGGCAACGCTTTCGGCGGTACTGTAAACTCCTGGCCACTTCCAACGGCAACGCAGCGGCAAAGGATGTGGCAGAGACGTCGGCAGAGGTCAGCTCCCTAGAACAGTTAACCGGCAGCAGAGGCAGCACTCGCAGTCGGCGTCGGCGCAGCAGCAGCATAGGAAGCGCCAGCAGCCGGCTAAAGATGCGACTGCGACGCTGCACTTCGTCGCCAGGATAAGAGGGAGATGGCTAATCGCAAACTGGGTCGAAGCGAGCGAGACACAGAGAGTGAGAGAGAGAGAGAGAGAGAGAGGAGACTGGAAGTGAGAAGAGACCGGGGCGTAGCCAAAGTGAGGTTACACAAAGGGGTCACTTAACCTAGTTAAGATTTGCCCCCCAGGAAACAGCAAAGTAAGTTGGCGTACAGAGTTGTTGGTGCATATTTGTTTGAGCATAATATACATAACATATAAATCAAATTCGGTGTACATATGCAAACTATTTAAAAATATATATATACCCCTACATATAAATACAAATTTAAAGTCCCAAATGTATAATTACATTAATTATATGTATGTATTTATGTATGCCAGGCTTCCAAATAGAACATAGAACCTATCCCAAACCAAAACCCTTTTTGTAACTGCGGTTTCGCGACAAGAGGAAAACAGAAATTGCAACTGCCAATTGCATTGTATAACGACAACCACATCAGCAACAACCCAAAAAAAAAACAAGACAAAACACTTGAGAAAATAAACAAACAAACTAGAAAAAAAGAACCACGGATTTTTACCTTTTCATTTTGTAATTGCATAATTACGATGCGCAATTGACAATATACTTTTAAAAGCATTGCGATCAAAAATAATATAAAAACGAAGCAGCTGAAAACAGACTTAATATTATATCGTAAAAAATATACACATATGTACTTGTACTAAAACAAAAATATATATACAAAAATGTACCTAGACGACAGCTACTTTTAAGCAACAATTAATGTTATTCGTTTTTTTTCTTAGCTAGTAATTTTGTAATTACACAAACAAACACGGCAAACGAAAAAAAAAAATCGCTATGAAAAAATAAATAAAAAGTAACGAAAATCTATATGGAAACAAAAAACTAAAGACTATGTAATTTTATTTGCACGCGAAAACATTTAAATGTCAGCAGAGGGAGAGAGCAAGTGAAAAAGAGAGAAAATTGCAGCTGCAGCCAAATGCGCAGAAAATGCGTTTCGTGGGGGAGGGGAAACCCCCAATTAGACCCCCTTTCGGCGTCCCCGCCCTTTTCCCTCTCCCTCGCACACACTTCTCTTCATGGGAATTGAGGTATGCGGAAGCAGAAGAAGAACGCGAAAATGACAGAAATCAAGTGAAAGAAAGATAGGTACGGTACTACCCCGATAACTGGAATCTTAAAGGTAAATATCTAGGGTAATAAAAATAAGTCCACTATGAATTAAGCATTTAGTTTTAGTTCTCTAATAAACAGTACAGTCAATCTTATTTAACTCGAACTCTATCTTCTAAAAACTATCTTCGGGCTATGGAACCCACAAAATGCATAGTTACCAAAGTTGTGTGCAAATACTTTAATCCCTCGCCATTTGTAATTAACAGATCAATTTTAATGGGTAAAAAAATAAGTCAGCTAAATTGTTTTGTTCATCAAATTTCAAGTTCTATTGTAAAATAATCAACAGTTGGAACATTTTTAAAGTTAATACAGGTAAACTTATCTAGCACAAAAATCTTCGAGTTATTTTTACCCAGTAGAAGGATTTACCAAAGGTGTAAGTACAGTGAAACCTTGTATTATTTTCGGTAAAAGAATGCAGAGCCCATATTATAAGAATGGTCTTAGTACAGTCAACTTTAAAAATTACTCCCAATATCTACCACCAAATATTTAGTAACAAAATTTTTAGTAATCTTAATATTATGCACTTAAAAAACAAACTTTTTATACATATATGTATATATATTATATTACATTTTGTAAAGGTTGTATTTTTATCATTATTGTTACAACACAAAATGTTCCAAAAGCGAAACAGTTTTAATTGTTATGCGCAGGTATAGACCCAAAGTATCTGACAATCTTCACACCGATTCACATATACCCGAAACCGAGTAAAGAGCGTCATGGCAGTTCTGCAACCTTGACCTTTGGACGCAGCAGCGTCGAATTGAATTGCCTGAAACAATTTGCAATTTGGCGTGTGTCATGTTGCTAGATTCGGGTGGGAAACTGAGGGGGACTTGCTCTCAATGCGACACTGTGGCACACATTTCAAATCTGGGCGAATTCTGTGTAGAAAAAACTTTATGAAAATTCTACGATTCAATTTCAATTAAATAACAAATCAAAAGGCGATCGAGCGGCGGTCTAAAATAGATGTACATAGAGAAATCGGCAAGTGGACTGTATCTTTTTATTCACGACCAATATATTGCTTCATATAGCATATGTATATATGTATGAAGTCAGTGGATCTGTTTCAATTTAAATTTGCGTTAACGATTTTTACAATTTCGATTTGTTGTGATTGGTGCATGCAACAATTAAGCGGAAGTCAAGCCAATTTTGCTTGGGAACTGGGGATATGCATAGTTAACAGCTGTTCAATTCAAAGGAAACTATATATACATATGTAACTATAATTGAAACCGTAAAAGCGACCGGTAAATATATCTGTGAAATGAAAAAACCAAGCAAAACATTAACTACATTTTTAATAACAAACTTTAATGGCTTACAATATATTTACCTTAATATCTTACTATATATTATTCCAAAATAAGAAGCAATTCAAGAATACAATACAAATGCCTTATGATATCATCATCTTATCAGCAACTCAAGTGAAATATTTACCAAAGATGATGATTGAAATCCCATCGGTTGGAAATCGAGTGAGCTATAATGTTTAGACCCATTATCTGTTTGGCAAGTTTGTTTATCCCCCGCAATTTGCAGAGTCAGTCGTTATCTTTTGATATTTTTTTAGAACCGGTTTGAGTTGGTTCGCTGGCAGATTTTCAACTTCACACGGCTGTAAAAGCCGATACGCAATTGGTCATCTAGATATCGGCGGAAATATCCCAGATAGGCTAATATCCCAGATAGGCTAATATCCCAGAAAGGCTAATGTTATGCATTCATAAATGTCAACTATATGATTTAACAGCCCTCCTTCGCTTTTCGGGGAGATTAATTGTTACACATAAGTACATATATTATGAAAATGCCTGTGCATTCGACTTACGTTACCCACTCAGATGTGATTTCCATGCAACGTAATGTGAGATGCCACTGCATTGTCATCGATTATGTCACCACTGTTCTTGGTCTGTGGTTGTGCAATTCCTGTACCTTTCCCCAATGCCAATCGAAACCCGCATCTATGTACATATGTACATGTATGCCTCTTCATCCCTATTGCATTTCCCAGTTGTTTTCTGGTTTACTCCATTGTCAGCATAAATATGTAGCTCACTCGGCGGAAGCATAGTCAAAACAACAACAACTTAAGATTCGTTAGATATGTCTTGGGGTATGTGATCAAAATATTTAGGGAAGTGTTTATTTGGATAGTATTCAAATTCATATTTTGCCGGGAATTTAGAAATTTGTTTATTTCGTATCATAACCTTTAAAAAATCTATTTATTGTGTCATTGTGAATAAATATATTCCATATTTTTATTTGTAGAGTCGGATCGGACCTTGACATGAACTCAATATTTTTGTTTACATTTGTTTTCCCTTTTGCGATTCTATTGTGTTCTGCATTGAAATTGCTTTTATTCCGCTTTCTAAGCAGGGTCCTTGTATTATTTTAGGTAGTATTGTAATGGTTGATTCTTTTCTATGATGCTTGTTAGTTTTGTCCTTGTTCTTATTGTTATTTGCTGGGTTTTGTTGGGTTTTCACTGGTTCTTTTCGTAGAAATTTCTTGTTTATTTTCTATTGTCATTTTTTTCTGGCACCCCGTTTTCATTCATTTCTATTTGCTAATTTACGAATCACTTGAAGACGAATGATAGGGTTGTGGAAAAAATGGGGGAAAAAAGGAGGAAAAACTATTGTGTTTTCTATGTTTATGCGAGGCAACAGGTTTTCATTGGAATTAACCCCTCACTGCCCCGACTCCCCATTTAAAATTTCTGTTTGTGTTTTTGTGCTGTGCGCGTGCCGCATTCATCGTGATGCTGAATTGAACATTTGTTGAACAATTTCCAGTTTGATCCTCTTATGGACGCGATACAATGACGCCAACAATGAAATGTGTTGTTGTGCTTAACCTCTGTTTAACCCCTCTCGCCTCCTCTTAAACAGTAATGCGATTACGTGGGTTGAGTTTTTGCGGTTGGTCAGTTATGTGATTATCTAATTACAGAATCATTACAGCTTCTCGATGTAAGCACATTAAGAAAATCGAAATAAAATCTTTAAAAATCCGAACTCAAATACATAGGGTTATGATCTTTAGATGTTCATTGTACACCATCGTGTTCTATTCAAAGATTATTTTAAAAATCAAACGAGAGCTCAATTCAGAAATAAGCTTGGATAGCGAATGTGGCTTAAGATGAAACTAAAAATGGTATCATATGTAGCTAGAGAATTGCTCTTTCTTAAATATGGTTTACAAACATCTGTGAATGACAGATAGACTGATGTGTACAAAATACAATTTCATATCGCCAGATCTCTATTTCATTACCCAAAGATGCGTGTCAATCCAATTTTGAGAAAATGCAAAATTCGAGTCATTCTTTGTTTGTTTTTTAACTCAAAAATCATATGGGTACAGTTTCGTCGCTTTTCGTTGTTTACGTTTCGTGTGTTAATCTTTTGGCAGCCCCCATTGTTTACCCCGATCTGTTGTTTAGCCCAAGATCAAGGTGAGATTGTGTAACCCGAAATTCATTGACGTCACCGCGAATTGGGGGCGGTGAGGACCAAGTTCGGGGTTCGGTATCCTGATGCCAGGGGTCAAGGGTGCGTTGTGTAAGCGAATATAAACTGACAGCGGGAATTAACCTCCAACTGAGGACAGAAAAAGCGGACGGAAAGTGGAAAAGAAGATAAGCGCACTTAAGTGTAAGTGTGACCAAAATGGATAACTGTAAAGTACGAATCGCGAATAAAGAATCCTTCAAACTGTACAGTAAATTAAAAGAAAATTTATGCTGTCAAGTTTTTCAAGCCTTTTTTATTCAGTTGAAAAATACGAATTGCAACTCAGAATTTAATTGGGATTATTTCGGAATTTTTAAGTCATTTGAGTATAAAAACTTCACACATAAAAATATATTTTTTTAATATTTACATAACTTACATATAGTTAAGAAACATTTTGTTTTATCGTTTACCCAGTGAAATATATTTGTTTCAATCAGGAGTATGAACTTATGTTCGCAATTGAAACCGCCCAAAAAACCGCCCATCAAAAATGCAGTGGAAAATTCCCAAAAAGTAGCTAGAAAGAGACGGCGAAATGGGCATGGATTATGGGGGGAGTGGCAGGGCGCAAAGGGCGCAGCTTTCGCTCTTCTCATCGATTAAACAACGCGAGGAGGAGAACGCGAAAAGGACTCGTTATCCTGACCTAGTCAAAGTTTAGCTCTCTCGCGCAGTGACATTTGCTCTCTGTTGCTCTCTGCTGTTCTCTGTTGCTCTCTTGCTCTCCCGCCATAAGCGTAGGTTGGGTGGAAAAAAGGGAAAAAAGGAAAAGGAAAAAAAGGGACTCACCCTCCGAGAAAACTCATAACTTATAATAACAATAATTTATTTTTAGAAGCTGAAAGTGCATGTTCTAATAAGGGAAGTTTACCTTTTATAAAGTTGTCCTTCAAAGGTTGCTTAGAACAACATTTTTATGTTTCATTTAAAAATTGACCAGTGTATATTGAAAGTGTGTTATCAAAGGTCAAAAAAGCACTGATTGCTGATAGTGGGATGGGCAAACTTGTATAGCGTTTGCAGCCGATAAGAACTGTAGATTAAGCTATTAATTGAGATTTTCTATAAAATGAAAAACATCTTTAACATGTATTCACTCTGCTTTTTAAAGAAAGACTGACAAGGTGTTTTATTCAAAACGCATAATTATATGTAAGCAATTGTTACAAAAGACTCCTTGTGAATTTTAAGAAAATCCTGCTCGAGAAACTGCCAAAAAGTAAGTAATTTAATAGAATAAAAAAATTAAAAATAAATACACTAAATACAGCCTATATGTTATTAAATAAATATTAAATTAAAACTAAAATAATTGTACGAACATGTGTATAATTCAAAATGTTTATTGCCTGACTTAAATAATTAAATATAAATAATATTTTTCACTTCTTGGAAAGTTATTTGAACTCCACCCATGTTTCTCCAGCTATCCTGCTCTCCTGCTATCCTGCTCCCTCATCTCTCCTGATTTCCTGTTCTTCTTTTCACTTACATTTCCACTCTCCTGTTTTTTTTTTAAACGTGTGAGGAAGCACGTAGCCGAAAACGGTGAAAAGGAGGAAAAAGTAAGCCGGTTTTGGTCCCGTGACCCCTGCGACTTGGCTTTTGGCCCGTGTCAAGGACATTCAACTCGCGTCCTGCCTTCGATTAACGGCAATTATTGATTTCCTTCTTTTTGTAATTTTGTTCTGGGATATCCGGCGTTTGACTGCCTCTATTTTCGTTGTTCATTGTTTTCAGTCAAAGTGCAGGTTTTAAGTTCAAGTATAAATGCTCTGGTGAAAATGAAATTTACAAAGTCTTGGCCTTGGCTTTAAGGCGGGTCAGTGATCCCCTCGCCTTGATATATGTATAACCACCTTGCCCCCCCCTTTGGCTATAGAATTCTGGTGACTTGAACCTCTCTTCTGTTGTTGTCTCCTTTTGTCTCTTCTACAGAGAAAAAAATATATACGAATGTCAAATTCAAAGCACTTTTATATCAGTTCTATCAATTTTAATAAACCTTTATAAGTAGCATTTCGATAGTAAATTTAAATTTCTTTTAAGATATTTAACTTATCCAATTTAATTATTTAAGTTTATAAATTTTTCGTCATACAATTTATGCATACTTTTTATTTCTTTGTAATCAATATAAATTTTTTGTAAGCTATAAAATATTTGTTCATTTACATATGTATGTATGTATCTTATAATCCAAATGAAATAGCGTTATCTGATGCAAAATCATCAAGTTGATCGCCATATCAAATCAATTATATTTTGTGTACCCAATCGCTTTTGACAACTGGAAAACAAAAACGTGTTACGAATTGGAATTCGAAAAGAGAGAGAAACAGACAAGGCGAATGAGGAGAAGACCGCAAAAGGCAGCGAAGCGAGCGTGGCTTAAAGAACGAGTGAGCAAAACAAACGGGCCGAGGGAAAAGATAAAAACAACGACGTTTCAAGTGAAAGTCGAATACAAACACAGAAAAGGAGAAGGCGAACAGCAAATTGGTAAGAAATGAAATTGAAGCCCAGTTGCTCTTCTTTGGTATGTTGGCCGCAAAAACAACAAGCAGTGACAGCGACGCCGACTGAGAACCGCTGTAACCACTTAGGGTGGACCGTTTAAAACGACTTATCATACTGGTAACTGGTAACTGATATTCTTAGTATAATATAGGTGCCTGATAGCAAAATGATAAAAACTAAAAATGTTGTAAAAGCTTTTAAAAATATTGCATTAATGCCCTTATTTATTATCCTAAATCACTCATACGACTCGTAAGCCAAACTAAATATGAATAAAATGACATCTTAGATATGAATAACGTGCCATAGACAATACGTTTAAAAACCATTTGACAGACATTACGAATTTGAACATTGTCATCAATAATACAAAATAAAAGTCAACACTGCGTATGAGTGATGAGATCCTAAATTTCCCATAGATTATAATAATAAGGTCCACCCTAGTGCATATGCAACAGCGACAGAGGCAGCATGTTAATAACAGACGCCTCGAAATAATTTTTTTCAGGTTATTTCTGACGCGTTAACACGGCTTGAAACCGCTGGAACTTGAAGTCAGGCGCCGAGCAATTGGAGTCCGCGGCAGTCAGTTGGCCAAGATCGCGCGAGAGGCTTAGACACGTAGCACTCACTAACCCAGTAACCAGAGGTTCAGATCGGTCTTTACTAAGTGATCGAGTAAATATATATTAAACCACCGCCCGGGAAACGTGCGAAATTGCCACCTGACCGCTCAAAAGTTTGGTAACACCGAGGTAACATCAGTTCCCAGCATTGTAGCAGCCACAAGAATATAAAATTGGTAAGCTTTTCGGTGGGTAAAAGAAAGTTTAGTGATTCAAATTTAAAGAATGTCAATAATGGTCAATGAAAGTCAGGATTTTTAATGGTTTTCAAAAAAAGCTTAAAGGAATTGGGGCACTTCTTCAATGGTAGACTTAAGATTTCGAATTGCCCGCGATAAATCAATATGGTATTTGACTGCGGTCATGAAAAAGTTCAGGTGTTAATTCCATTATCATAGTGAAAGTTCTTATATCAAGAGTTGACCGACTTTATTCCATTCCATTAAATCAATTATATTTAAAAAAAAAAAAAAGATTAACCAGTGTCTAAAGTCTAAAAATCTTTGTACACTTCTAAACTACATTTAATTAAGCCACTTTTATTCTATTCTAGACAACATTGCAATTTTAAACTATTTAATGAGTTTTAAACCTAAAACGATTTACTAGATATGCGCAGCGAGTACGAGTAATTTGAGTGAATTACGAGAAACCAGTTGCTCAGGTGCAAAACAACTTGAGATATTCGGGGTCAGCAGGGCCTTCAACTTGTTCGCTCCCCCCAATGTAATCGTCGCTCTTAACTTATTTCTTTTTATGCACGCCCCTGATTTGTAGCAACCCTTTTTGCCTCAAAATCATCTCTACTGGTTACTGAACTTTCTTTCTTTCTTTCTCTCGTTTTGTAGAATTGATAGATTGCCCGAAGATAGCCCAGGTGAAACTAGAGAATCACGATCGAATCGATCGTTTTGCCAGCTATGTCGGAGGCTGCCACGCCCCCAGGATCTGGACCTGAACGAGGATCGGTATTTCCACCTGGTTTCGATCCCACCGCCGAATCGGCAGAGAAGACGCTGTGCTTTCGTGGCTTTTGGGCCTGGGCGGTGCTGATTCTTCTGATCGCCATCTGCGTTTCGGTCTTCATGTGGCTGCTGCGCAAGTGCATCCAAGGTCCCGCCTACCGGAAGGCCAATCGCATCGATGGCAAGGTGGTGATCGTCACCGGCTGCAATACGGGCATTGGCAAGGAGACGGTCCTGGAACTGGCCAAACGGGGCGCCCGGGTCTATATGGCTTGCCGGGATGCGGGACGCTGTGAGGCCGCCCGGCTGGAGATCATGGATCGCAGTCACAATCAGCAGCTGTTCAATCGCACCTTGGATCTGGGCTCCCTGCAATCTGTACGAAATTTCGTTGAGCGTTTCAAGGCAGAGGAATCGCGATTGGATCTACTGATCAATAATGCCGGCGTAATGGCCTGTCCCAGGACCTTAACCACCGATGGTTATGAACAGCAATTTGGAGTCAACCATCTGGGACACTTTCTACTGACAAATCTTCTCCTGGATCGATTGAAACAAAGTTCGCCAAGTCGAATTGTGGTGGTCAGTTCGGCGGCACATCTATTTGGACGGATCAACCGGGAGGATTTGATGAGCGAGAAGAAGTACGGCAAGTTCTTCGGCGCCTATAGTCAGTCCAAGCTGGCCAATATCCTGTTCACCTGCAAGCTGAGCTCGATCCTTAAGAATTCGCGGGTAACGGTGAACTGTTGCCATCCGGGCGTGGTGCGCACGGAGCTGAATCGCCACTTTGCCGGACCCGGCTGGATGAAGAGCGTGTTGCAGACGGGATCCCTGTACTTCTTCAAGTCCCCGAAAGCGGGGGCCCAGACCTCGCTGAGATTGGCCCTGGATCCCGGATTGGAGGGATCAACTGGTGGCTACTATTCAGACTGCATGCGTTGGCCCTTGGTTCCCTGGGCTCGGAATATGGAAACCGCCGACTGGCTGTGGCGAGAAAGTGAAAAACTGGTGGGACTACCGCCGATGGAACCACCGCCGCCTAACCAAAACCAAAACCAAAACCCAACCCAAAACAGTAATGGCACCCAAAATGGTAATGCTGCCAATGGAAGTCGGGAAATGCAGTCCGTCGAAACAGTCGTGGTCAACCGTTCGTAATCATAGTCAAAGGTCCTTGAGACAAAGGGTTCCATCCAGTACGGACCTTGCTCTTAATTTATTCCTTAATAATATTGCGTGTTTAAGTGCCCTTGGGAAGAGACTGCAAACAATCAACAGTCGCATTCGAAATGGGGCCAAGTCCGTCTGGTTTTTTACCCAGCAAAACTCTGATTTTGAATGCTTGCTGCAGATTCTCATCCTCTTTTAAGGAAGATCTTAAATTATTTAATTGTAAAATATTTGAAATTGTCAAATAGGAAAAAAACGTAATTTTTAGATTCATTGGGTTTTCTTCCTTGATTGGTTTTTGGAAATTACAATTTTTTTAAATTTATTTAAGACTTCGCTCATCGAAGTTAGCATTTTAATACTCTTTTTTTTTTGTTTGTTTCTGTACATAATTTTAAGCAAAGGAAAACCCATTAAAAATAAAAGTTAAGCCTGACATGCAATCCTGTTTTGGACTCTCTTTTTTCCTTCTTCCTTTCTTTCCCACCCCCTCTCCCCCTTGGCCTATAAAAAAGAAAGAAACTATAATAATCAGCATAAAGCGAACAATGTACGACAACAAAGCGAAATCAATGTGAATGCTGACTGCGCTGCTGCGTTCTCGTTCTCCACTGCGTCCTCTGCTGCAGCGGTTGCTGCCACTGCACTTTCGTGTACTAGGGGGCGAAACGGGGAGGGGGAGGGGGAGGGGGAGGGGGAGGCGTAGGGAGAGAGTGTGTGAGTAGGTGAGTAAGACAGGTGAGTGTGAGAGTAAGTGAGTCAGGTAGTCAGTCAGTCACTTCGTTGGCTTACAGTGGAAAAATAGCAAAAACAGTATCTACTAACAAAAATTTTAATAATAATTTTTTTCCATATTTTATTTAATAGTTCTTCTTTTTCCCATTTCATAATAAAAACTATAGTGTAATGAAACGTACTGACTTAATGAAAATAATGAATAAAGTTGTTTTAAAACCTATTGTTTTTGTTGGGTATTCTCGGTACATTAACTCATTTCTTACAATGCATTTCCCAAGGCACAAATTTTGTTCGGGCAATTACACCCACAGTGCGCCCGTCCGTTCATCCACATGCCATTAGCATTAACGAAAATCACATAAAGCGCAAACGAGATGGGGCGAAGAAGGGAGCGAGAGGAGGCGAGAGGCAGTGCAATTAAACCCATGCATGCCCGCGGGGGTCGTTCTGGTGCGCTGGCAATCGAGGTGCGCCAAAAAAGTGAAAATCACAAAACCTCAACCGATTACTCCGCTTTTATGTCGATCAATTAGCTTCGGCAAATCTTAATGTAACGAACGGTTTTAATGGGCTTTTTTATAAAAAGAACGCGCTTGGTTATAAATCAAAGAAAATCATTAATAAATACATCAGTTGCTTGTTGATATATGTGTCACTTTATTCTTGAATAAGAATCGTTAAGGCATATTCATATTACTATTTAGAAATTCTATCTGAATTGCCAAGAGTTGAATAAATTATAAATAAATAAAATATGTCTGAAAGTTCGTCAAAAAGATTAGCCGTGGTGCATGCCATTTCCGAGTTTCCGACTGGATTGAGCACAGAGTCCCTTGAAATCTGCATCAATTTGATCAATCGTGGAGTCCAACCTACGGTGTTTGCGCAGGTTCTCAAGGACATAAGAGAAGGGATAAAGGATGAGAAAACCGAAAGCGATGAAGGGGAGCTTCCATTGAAAAGCGAGGAGTTGAAAAGTGATAAGTTGAAATTCGAGGATTCGAATAGTGATGAGTCGAAGAGTGATGAGTTGAAATTCGAGGATTTGAACAGTTATGACTTGAAAAGCAACGATTCTTTCTCATGGTGTGTCCCAAGACGCACGACCATATAGAAAATAGTCCATTCGTTATGTTCAAATTATGTTTGTTAAATTAAAGTTCAGTTTCACAATTTTTTACAAGTGTTTATTTTTTTGTTAATTTTTGGTTGGAATTTTTTTTAACAGTTTCAAAAATCTGGAACATTTGTAAAGTATTTATTATTTACCTCTTGCAATCAGTTACTGATGAAAATTAACCGGATCTACGCTGCATAAACAGCCGACTGTTAGTTTTTAATTTGTACTAAATGCTTAGTTACCAATTTAATAAATAACTAAATAAAGATAAATGTGTAAATTGAAATGAATCTTTGCCGGTGTGGGGTTAACGAGAGGCGCTTCAGTTACACGAAAAATTGCAATGGAAATTTCCACTCGTGAATGAGTGTCTTTTGATTGCGTGCCACCCCCTCTTCCGCCCAGTCAAACCCCATCCAACACCCCCTTCCCCCCCAAAAAACCCCCATCGCACAGCTTTTGCATTGGTTAAAACCTAGGCGCCAAGTGAATTTGATCGATAAGAGACAGAAAAACAAATGTAAGGCTAGAAATGCGGGGAAAACATTTGTAATATGACGAAATAGTGGGGAGAAAAGCTTAAACAGAGATAAAAAATAATAATATGTAATTGCTGGGGGTTGGGTAATAATGCAAAATTTGAACAGGTGTTTTCCCGGCGGAACCACTCTACTATAAAGCCCAAATACTATAGCATTTCACTTTAATTTGAGCATTTCGAAAAGGCCTGGAATTTTCCAGATATTTCTGGTAACGTTTTGCTGTGCATTCGAATCGATTTCAATCAAATTGAAACAATAAATTTGCAGCCAATCATTGAATTAAAGCTGCATGGGAAAGCAATTTAGAGCTGTTATTCAAGGAAGAAATTGAAGAATTTGTGAACAAATTAGTCATACAAATATTTTAATAGATGCTTGAAGAAACAAATGTTTGTTTGAAAAATACGACACATACATAGATGTATTGAATGAGTAATATACATTTATATGTATTTAATTTTGTATTATCCAAAAGCTTATGCTTAAGAATCAAAACTTAGAACCTCTTTGAAGCTCGTTATCAGATTTGATATCTGATTTGATGGCAATTAAACTTGAAATTCGAAACGATATGACGATATGATGGAAGATTATAGAATCGCGGAGCCCTTTTTGTAAGCAACTATTACTCATAGCTTTGGCTATTTGGTCCGTTTCTAGCTCAAGTAGTTGAGTGATCGCTGATATTGGTAGAATTGTGAAAATCTTAAGTCAAGAATATAAGACCCGAGCCACTTTACCCCCTGGCATATATTTTTATATTGGGGCAATTCGCGGAAAGTGTACGATAATGGGGCACTCATCTAACCTACCGCAAATTCCTTATCAATTTATAAATATTTGTTCATATACAAGCTAGTTATCATGTTTTCATACAACGGTTTTGAGATGGAATAAAACTATTAAATCAACGTCGATTTTAAACTTAAATATATTTCCTTTCAAAATTATGGATTTAATGATTGTAAAAGGCAATGTAAAAAGGCATGTCATTTTAAATAATTTAAGCATTTTATAGCCATCACTAATACTATATACCCACAATCTTCATTTGCTAATCTAGAAAATAAAAAAAAAAAACTTAAATAATATTTAATATGCTCTGATGCAACTGTCAATTCATTCATCTAGACGGAAACGTCATGACTACGATACGTTAAGCTAAATTGACACAGATTTGCATTTTCACCCCAGTCCCCCAATCAGAAATCGATGATGGGTAACGGAACCCCCATATAGCAATATTTATAGTACTTTGGAACTCTGTACTCTCCACCGACACTGACGCAATTGACTTGGAATATTTGGATTGTAATCTTGGCTCTCATGTGATACTGCGTCATTAACCCTTTTTCCGCACCAATCAACTATCTTTGGTTACGTCGATACTCTAGCATCTTAAAGTCTAAAACAATTAAAATATAAAAGATATAGTATTTATCATTATTTTCATAATTATGTCAAATAAACAAAAAAAACAGTAACGTAAAGTGTGGAGCCAAAAAGTGAGGACTCGAATATCAACAATTCTATGGGTCCCAACACACACGACCATATAGAAAATAATCCATTCGTTATGGTCAAAGTTAACCGAGCTAAGTTAAAATAGTAAGTACATAAGTGCTAAAAAAAATACGTGCATTCAAAGCCATTTACATTGAACTGTTTATTTTAATTTCTTTGCTTTTTCTAGAGGTACTAAAAATGAATGACTTGTGTGTTAAAGGAAGTATGGCTAAATAAATAATATCCAATGGGTTAAACGAGCAAAAACTTTCCATTCATGGGAATTCGCTGAATGATCTTCAATTGACGTTCGGCTGAGTCAGTTACGAGCTTTTCCGACATCGCCGATCGATCGTCAATCGGCGATAATTGGTTCAAGGTCGTTTTAGGGGGCTGTCAAGAAGTGACACACCCGCTAATAAAAATGCCGCGAAAAACAAGAAAACGAGAACTGGGCAGAACAATAAGCAGATGAATGCCGAATGGCCAAACTGTAAGTGCAATGTCCACATATAGCTGGTCTAATTTTAGATGTTGCGGCGCTGGCGAATTTTTTAGTGACCACTGATCGCAGCCACAAGCAAAAATTGCTTGGCGACGTGACAAATGCAATGGCGAAAATAGTCTCGCCGATTTCCCTGACATCTTCCTCACGACAGGGCACGTCTTTAAGTCTTTGTAGCGCTGAAAATGGGAATATGGGGGGAATGGGGCTAGAAGGGTGTTTCTTGAAATCTTTTTAGATAAATATGCACCGCTTTGAATGCAAATAATAGCAGCTTTACTTTTTCATTACGATTAAATAAAACAAAAAAATTATATAACAGGGTTTTCAGTGAATTCATACTATTAATACTTTAATAATTTTACCAATTATCTTTAATCATAAGATTGTCCTCATTTGATGAGAAACATATAAAGTCCCTTTAACGATGTTAATAACAATTTCTTAAGATCAGAAGTTTCTTCATTTAGTTAAATTCTGAAAGTTTAGCTTAATATAGAAATTCATTTGTAAATCGAAAAATATTAGAAAAAAGAAAACATGTAAACAATTTTACTTATTTTTGACTGCAAGCATTTCTTATATAAATATGTTAAATACATAAATTCAAAAATAATTTAAAAACTTACAATAATACGAATTTCTTATGCTTTGATTAATTAGTTTAATTAGTTTTTAATAAATTAAAAAAAACTTACCTTTGTAACGACAATTTAAAATGCGCGCCAATCTTCAGGCGTTGCCACACCACGCTGATTATCGATTAATGCGCCGATAACAGTGCCGATAGAAAAGAGCGAATAAAAAATACCAGAGACCGTTGGCAAACCAAAAACGCACCAAAAAATCCATCAAGCGGCGGGCCAGACCGCATGCAGCTCTGCTTCCAGTGTCCACCATCTTTGCCGAAGTTGCCACAAAAGTAAAATCGTGACGAATAAAACTACCCGATCTCGCGAAAAATAAGTGTTGACTATTGTGGAAAAAACGCAGAGCGAAAGGCCGCCAAAAAAGCAGGAGAGGATTGCACTCCAGCTGGTCAGGGCAGAAGATTGCGATTGCGATTCCGAATCGGATTCCAGCGTAGCGACAGAGGCAGAGAGAGCGTGTCGAAGGGGAAGAGGAGCGGAGAGTGGGAACGGGAGTGGAAGTGGAAAGAGGAGCTGTCAGCCGGACGAAAAAAAAAAAAAAACAAGCCTGTCAGATCAGCCGAAAACCAGGAGCAGGAAACAAGGACCTACATACCCAATCCGCCTTACAGCCCCACAATCGCCAGCAAAATGAACGCCAAGCGTGTCAAGTACTCCACGGTCAAGGAGGAATTCGTGCCCGTGCTAATCCAACACGATCCCAATGTCGAGGAGGAGGAGCCCGAGGATCAGGAGCACGAGCACGAGGACGACGGCCAGGAGACGCAGTACACGTATGCCTACACCACCACCGAGGACGATGACACCGAGACGGCGGTGGTGACGCTCAGCGATCGGGAGCATGAGGCACTGGCCAATGCCCAGGAGGTGATCATCGACGAGAATGGCCATGCGGTGACCCTGCAGCAGCTGGTGGAGAACAGCACCGTCGAGGAGGTGGAGACCATCGATCAGGGCGATGGCACCCACACCATCCTCCACATAGTGCCCAATATCCATGGCCAGCACGAGGAGGACGAGGAGGAGCCCGAGGAGGAGGAGGAACTGGAGGAGGGCGAGGAACTGGAGCACGACCACGAGGATGATGAGATCGTGACCGTGGAGCACGAGGAGGGCGAGGTGGACGAGGACGACGACGACGTTGGCTCCATTGTCTTCGAGAGCACCATCGACCAGGCCGAACAGGATCCGCATGCCCGCAACAAGACGTTCTATTGCCCCAATTGCGGCAACTGCTACAGTGCCGCCGGTTCCCTGAAGCTCCACATGCGCGCCTGCCTGCGCCAAAGGAACGAGGTCTCCGCCGAGGATCGCAAGTGCAAGGTGTGCAGCAAGGTCTTCAATTCGGTGGCCTACCTCAAGGAGCACATCATGCGGCACACGGGCGAGCAACCGTTCCGCTGCACCCGCTGCTATCGCAAGTTCGTGGACGAGGGCAAGTACGCCGCCCACATGGAGTCGCACAAGCATCAGGACAAGCTGGAGGCCGAGGCGGTCGCCTTGGCCGCCCAACACGGCGGCAAGAAGGTGGTGGTCAAGGAGTTCCAGTGCGCCTTCTGCACCCAAAACTTTACGGTGGTCTTCGATGTGGGCCAGGTGAAGCGACGCTACGCCTGCGATGCCTGCCGCGACAAGTACTCCAATGCGGAGGCACTGCGTCAGCACAAGCAGCAGGTGGAGGAGAAGCGCGAGTTCAGCTGCGAGCGCTGCGGCAGGAAGTTCGTCTTCGAGGGCTTCCTGCAGCGCCATTTGCCCACCTGCGATGGCAGCATCAAGCGGCGTCGCGACATGAAGTAGAAGCGGCCGCAACGTGACGGCAACTGGCGGCGACGGCAGCAGCTTCCGACAGCGGATTAGGACAAGCAGGAGGAGCGGAAGGAGCGGGAGTCGCCGCCGCCAGTGCGTTATGTTGTTATCAAGCAGAAGCAGGAGCGGAAGCAGGAGCAGGAACAGATGTACGATCAGAAGCAGGAGGAGCATCGGATGATGATCGCTCGAAATCATGATTAGCCAGCCAGGACCACTTAATTTATGACAGGAAGGAGCAGCTGCTGGCCATCTATTCACACACAAAACAAAACACAACACCACACACACACACACACACGCTTTTATTGGGGCCTCAACGTCATCTTCCTTCAACCAATTCCAAAGGAGAGCGTTTTTTTTTTTATTTGTTTACCTATATCGGCGTTAAAATATGAGAGATAAATTGGAGGAATGATGATCAGATGATCAGGCGGACGATAGACGATGGACGTTGGACACACACGGATCACGAGCCTGGTCAATGTATAGATATATATTACTTACTTTTAATTACGACTACTTAATGATAGAGCCCCAAAACACCCGCTATTGTGTAATAACCACAAACCGAAATGCTGGCACACAAACGCGCGTCAAATCGTTTATGAATTCAATAAAAACACTAAACTTATAAATTTCGAAAGCGATTATTTTGAGTCTTTTCCATTTTCAAAAGATTTATATATTGGTATTTTATATTGAAGAAGATATATATAGCAATTTAGTCTATGAAAAAAAATTTGCTTACTTTTGTCTCTCTGATGTTAACAAAATAAATTGTTTGTAAACATTCTTAATAATAATGTAAAAACGTAAATACTTAAACTTTTTTGATCGTCTAGTTCATAAATGTTGTTGTAAACTTTAGTTGTGTATGTTTACTTCTCATTAAATTTTTAAATAATAATCTCGCACTGCAAATCGATACCTTTCCAAACACTTTCAATTACAACTTTATAAAAACAAGGAAAATATTGTGGTATTTGTCCACAACATGTATACCTCTATGATATAAGATGTTCCCTTTGCATAAACAAACCAAATGGGATTCCCCTTAGCTAAAGCAAGTTATTTTTAGCCATTTTTGAGCACTGCTTTAGACCATTTTCCAGATGGACGGCAACGCCCCCCCTTTCAGAAAAAAAAACCTCTGGTAACCTCGGATCTCCGGGACAAAAACAATACATTCGATATTTCAGCCAATCTGACAATATAATTGGGTGATATTTAGCGCTTAGGCGAGTCTACAAACAAAAAAAGAGGGAGGCGGCTTTCACAATCGATGATTAATAGGCTTAGGCATTAACTAATCCATTAACTAGACCCATTATTTAGGAGTTTAGGACCAGAGCTTCAAGTGGGCACGCTTGGCATAGGACTTCCAGTCGGAGTGGGCGTAGAACTCCTTGAAAATGGGCGTGACCAGGGTGTCCTCGGGCAGGGTCTTGAACACGGGCTCGCCATACCAGGTGCCCACCTCCCAGCCGGGCACGTTCTTCATCAGATCGGCCTCCTCGTCGCGATTGCGGCGCAACTGGCGCAGGAACTCCCGATCCCTTTCGGCAATCAAAATGGGGAAGATCACATTCTGGGCGGAGCGCATCTCGATCTCGTCGCGCTTCACCTTCTTGGCGGTCAAGTAGTAGATGCCCAGGCCAACGGCCGTAACAGCCACATAGGTCCCGATTGTGGTGAAGCCTGTCGGGGCACACATATACATATATATCTCGGGAACCTACAGATATCGCAGATAAAGCGGATATAAAGCTCACCTGTGAAGTAGCTCTTCGGTGGCACGCGGGCAAAGGGGATCTTCTTGTAGCCGCCCGGTGGTGGAAGGTCCTGTTTTGGGGGGCAATGCGGCACGGCCGTCGCCATGGTGACTCCTGCTGGGGATCGGATCTATCAGTCGACTATATCCCCGTATATAATATCCACACTTACGCTCGAGTTAAAGGAAAAAACCTGTCGAAATGTCAAAAAAATGAAATGTAGTTTTTTGCATAACACCAGGGCAGTGTGACCAGAGGCTGTTACAGCTGACACAAATATCGATGTTTTTTCGATCCTATCGATGTTTCCGACTTTGTAATGTTAGGGCCACACCTATTGTAAGATTTAAAATTTGGATTTTAAAAACATCTGAGTCGAGAATATAAAAAAAGGTCTTGATTTTCATACAATCGAATTTTAAAGGAAACCATTTTTGTTTTAATTACATATATATGTGACGATTGGCCCGAAAAGTCTTGATTTGATTTATTTCGTTCTCCTTTGGTTTTTGAGAGTTTTTGTTGTTGTAATATGGCTCAAAAATAATCTAAGTGGAGTAGAGAGAATTTTAAGACGAATAAACGTAAAATGTATTCAATTTTATGTTAAAATTATAGAGTCAAAAGTTTAATAAAAATTGTTTTCTTATTTTTATATAATCAATCGATAACATCTCTAGTTTTACTCTTTCTGTGTCCTGTCAAAATCAATCCCATTTTTACATCACTAGTTCTTTTATTCCTTTGAAAGCAAAACAAAGACATCACGTTGAAAATATATTCCCTTTTTTTACGGTCGAAACAAGAATGTCTGTCCCGAGACTTGTGAATGCCTGTTTGGGCCATAGTTTATGCCGTTCGATGACTAAAAAGTCAATTTGGGATGTCAAACCTTTCGGTTTCCAACGTTTGGGCTCGAAGCAGGAAGACAACGTCACGGGACAACTGAAGGAGCAGCCACAAACGTCGAATCCTGAGCAAGAGCCATTTACTGAATCGCAACAAGGCGAGCTAGTAAGTTCTTTCAAAATAACCGCCCACGCCTCACACTGCATGCTATTAAGATAGTCCGAAATTAATCAATGAACTCCCATAAGTGCTACGTCATTATTTCTTTTTCTTCATTTACGTTATAATTTTAGTTTAAATTACGCGGCCTACGCGCACACTGCTTGTTTACCACTGACTGGTAAAGTTCCATAGCAATATTGCACTGTCAGCGAGGGGATTTAAATATGCTGAAAAGCGGGGGTGTATACTTTGATAAAAAATACAGTTTTAAATGAGACTTTCGAGAATATATTAGCAGGTGTCAGCCCCAAGCTCGAATTCCCTTTTATTTCTAGAAAATACGGCTACAAAATGGTTAACATGCGTAATTTAATAGCGTGGGTGTTGGAGTGCCGTAGCAGCCAGCCTTTAGTGTGACCTTGCTTCAGTTGCCAATTAAATACCTGTATTATCGTTTTCCTACGTTTCTATGTATGATCAGTTCTAACATAGGCAGCGCTGCAGCAGAGGGAAAGCAGAGTAGAGATGGAGTAACATCGATGTCGCCCCGCCAAACATCAATAAAACCGATGTTTTGAAAACATCGATGTTTGCCAATTTTCTACCAGCTATATGTTAGGAAAACGTCGATCAAACAAAAAGAGAGAGCGAGAGAGTAAAAAAAACATTGAAAAAGGCGATTCCAATTCGATCCGCCAAATATCGATGAAACATCGATTTTGAAAACATCGATGACTCCGATTAGTAAACTAAGGAAAATAAAACCCGCGATTGGCGCCATGGCCCCATTTCAGTTGCCGCGCAGCTGCTAAACGAGAAAGAAATCTTTTCGCTGAAGAGCCCCACATTAAAAGAACACTTCCAGAAAAAGGAAAGGCAATTTTTTTCTCTGTGTGTGTGTTTTTTCAGTGCAAGGCGAAAGTGTTTTTCTTCAACTCGCAGCCGTAATCGTATCGTAATCGCATTGCCATGTCGCTCTATCGCATTTCCGCACGCAAATTATCCGAGGCGCAGGTGAGTTATTACTTCGATTTTCGCTAAGTGTATCGTTCCCATCACTTCCTGGGATTCCATTACCTTTCCCTCCAGTTTGATAACTGTTAAGTGTGTCGTGTTTCGCTTTTGTTGTTAACACCTTCTTATCCTACTACTCCTACTACTCCTCCTCCTCTTCTTCTTCTGCCTCCACGCACGTCACGCTGGAATACAAAAAGAAGAATTTCCAGCCATGTGCTTGCGATTAAGAAACTTCCATTGTATTGTTGTTGGCAAATGATAAGTCCCAAAGTATGTGTATGTGTTCTAATACATTACATAATCGCCAAATGAAATTCGCCTAGCTGTTTTTTTGGCAACATCGGAATGCCTCTAAAAATAAAACTTGGTCTTTTCGGGTTTAACGAACTTATCTTTTTTGGCCCGCCCCCGCCCATTTCTTATTCTGTGGTAAATTTCCACAAGTCCGGCTTAAACATTTTTTGGCCTTATTCTTGTAAATTTACAACAACAAAAACAAATGCCACGGCGCAGAGAGAGCGATATTAAGAAAAAGAGAGCAAAAGGGAGGGGAAAAAACAGAGAGTAACATATTTTCTCTCATTTTTGTTCCGTTTCCCATGCGTGTCACGTTGTTGTTGTTGCCAAAAAAAAAAAAGAAATGCCATCTCTTTCTGGCAAAAGAAGTGTCCGCCGAATGACCTTAAAGCAGAAGGAGGAGTACGCCCACTCACCACCCACCGCCCACCGGCATTGCACATTTGCATGTGTGTGGATTGCATAATGCTTACTAAAAAAAACCCATAAGAAAAGAATTTACCAAATGATAATTGAAAAATCAATATCACACACATACACAGAAGGCTTGCAGACATGTACACACACAAAAAGGGCTCGCAGGACGAGCCTCCTTTTGATTTTTTGGGGGTGTTTTTACTCTTCTTTGAACTGCGTTGGGTAATATTTACACCGGGAAAAATAAGGTCACTATTCAGTTACTATTAATGAAGAAGTTCAAAACAACTTCTTGCTTTTGTAAGATTAATCAGTGAGGACAAATCGTATAATGGAAAATCCTTTAACAGTTTATGTTGCAAATAAGCAAATAACATTTGCTATTTTCGCGCTTTAAAGCTATTAAATCAAAGTTTTAAATTAAAATTTTTGTAAACAAAACTCAACAGAATCATTTCTTGCAGTGTAGATTTTGCCAAAACGTTATGCACACTCCTAAATTCTTTTTCTTCCTATTCTGCCGGCGCTGGTAGAGTGCCAAAAAAAAACACCGACGTCGACTGAGGCGTTTTATATAAATTTCCCTTTTATTTTTTGCATTTTACTCGTTTTGGCTATAAATAAATTTCGTAAATGTTAGACTACAGAAGTTTTTTGGAAATCGGCTTAGTTTATTTTTGTTGTCTACTTGCAGTAAATTTAACATTAAAATTTGTTTCTTGTTAATTTTAGGCAACTAATTAGCGAATTGTGGTTTTTGTCTTGCTTGCATATAGTATTTTAAGCAATAAACAAAGAGATACTGTTTTTATTTGCGTTTGACGTACATAGTTTGACGAAATGGCAACACGCGAAATTTTTATCGCCCCTCCGCTAATACGTCACAAATCGTGACGATTCTTACGTAACGCCCACGACCCTTTAACCAACCAAAAGAGAGTAGTTGCAGAGAGTAGAAAGTAAAGAGAGTGCAGAGGGGTTAAAAAAAAAAAAAAAAAAAAAAAAAAAAAAAACGGAAAAAGTAAACAGATGATCAAGCGATTGCATAAGAGCAAATGCATAATTTATACGCGGTATACAGACAAGTTTTACGGCCGCAGCGCATTTTTCGATTAGGGAATCTAAATCGGGATTTTATGACCGTTGGGCAAAGCTCAAGTGGACCTTTTCCACACCTGGGTATTCCAATCCAGAACTCTGGTTATGCTCGAGATAACACCGTTTAGGCTAACGGGCGTCATGGAAAGTTTGAGGGTCCCGAGATAAAGAGAGGAACCCCAGAATATCACATCTTTGCGGGTATTACCTTTAAGAACTCCCAACATTATATAAATACATACAAAACCATTTCGAAACATATACAAATTCTTGACAAAACCACTGTTATCAGATTTGCATTTTTATCTATGCCATAAATTGTATTTAGCTATTTCGAATTATTTGATTTCATTTGAACTATACGTTAAACATAATAAAACATTGTTATTTCTTATCAGTATCTTTTTTTTACACAACCAACATTGAATGCTGAATAATTTCCACAAGTGCAATGATCGCTATCGATTGCAATTCTCAATACTATGTTTTAATCTCAGAGTTGTGCAATTGAAGTGCCTCATTAAAAATGTCACCTTGCCAAGACACAGCCAATTGTTTAACAATACTAAATGCTCTTGTCATACATATGTAGCTGCTAATGCTATACACGTTTAATCCAAAGTAATGTGGCTAAATCAATGAGGAAATATCAGGATTGTGTGCAGTAGCTAATAATTTGTTGCTCGTGCACTCCATTTGTCTTGTTCTTCTGCCATACATACGTTTCTACATACAAACCCCCCTATATAACCCCTTTTATTTTGGCCTGATAAGCGTGACAAATTTGCTGCTGGGCACATGATCGGTAGACGTCGCCATATCGCTGATAGCACGGACACGCAAAAAAAACCCCCCCTCCCCCACCAACTGGTAATGGGAATGGGAAAGCGAATATAAGGTGTTAACTCAATTAGTTTTATTTTGTTCGTGATAAAAACACGACCAAATATTTGTGTTTATATTTAGGCGATTTCGCAATGCGCAAATGAGCAGGGCTCAACTTGCAAATTTGGTGTCAACACATAAATAAAAACAGAACTTCAAGACGGGTTAATACAAGATACTTAAATGTATCTGTATATGAATGATTGATGGGCTGGGGCAAAATGTTGACAGTAAAAGATAAAGTTGATGTCCTTATACTATATATTTTTATGTATCCACATCATCAGTTCACTAGTTATGTTTTTAAAAAAATTTCTTGATATTATAATATTCTTTTCGTGAACATATAGCCAACCGAAGTAATATGCAAATTTGTTTCTGTTTACGACAATTTAGTTATTATGATCTTTGGCTTAGTCAGAATTTTACTGCTTTTAACTGACTAAAGGGAAAAAAATCGCACCCGGCAACAACAGTCGTCTGAAGTTTGTTCAACTGATCCGATCCGAATGGGATTACGTCACGCGGTACTTTCAATGCGATGCGATTGTATGATGTGTGTTTACTTTCGGCATCTGTGGCGGGAGACACAATAAAAAATATATATATATATATATATGGGAGGATATATAGAGAGAAGGCATTATAGAGAATGGCGAACAGCGCACTAAACTTAATTAAGACGATTAACTCGGACTGCAATTATTAGACAACTGACAGGCGGTCTCTAATAGCAGAAATCATTAAACCGAATTGAATACGTCACGCGAGGCTAGGAGAACCCAAGGTTCTGAAATCCACGAACCCCTTCATAATACCCCCCATTCAAAGCGAGATCAAACAGTTTTCGTGATGATCATTCAAATGCCATGCAATTGAACTACAGTGATCGCTCGGAAATTACCAATTTTTTGTTCAGTTTAATGTGATTTTTAGTTGCATGGAGTTAATTTCCTATTATAATCCCATGTATCTTTTGCAAGCACTCCAATTAAAATCGTATAAAATGCAAAGTAAAATGCCATTAAATGCAATCTCAAGAGTCAGACAAAACTGAAATTCTTGATAGCAGAGAAATCACTGTAGTCTGAGTGTGAGAACACTTGATTCCATCTCCACTGACGGGGTCATCGGCGGCTCACCTCGATGAAAACTCTGCTCTGTTCTCGTGGCTCCACGAGGCTTTCCCGGGTTTTTCAAGGCATCATATCGAGAATATATATATACAATATACATATATATTGCATAATCCGGGTATTTGGATCATTCGATCTTTCGGGGCAGCGAAAGGAAGTCTGCCGGCGCCGCCAAAACACGCGAAACGCTTCCTTGATGACAACGCAACCGCCGACTAGTTAGACATGCGATAATTGCCAGCGCGTGAGACCTTGAAATCCATTTGGAATTGGAATACTACAAACTACATACTACACACATACTTTTCCATATTCTCGGGGGCTTTGGCTTATCAGCAGATGAACGCGCGCCTCTGAGGCAGATAATGGTTCCCCTCCAAATTGTATACAAATGTATTCTCGGTTAGCTTAAGGCATATTTTAAAGAAGCCAAAAAAAGAAATTGAAAAGAAAATAGCAAAGCGATTAGATAGCAGACGTACAGTGAAGGGTGGTCAATAAGTTTCATTTTTGAATATGTTCTGCAAGCCTTTCTCTACCATTCAAAGCACAAAACCCGCACACTTGACAGCTCAATTAGCATTTTCTTGGGGGAAATATGGTCTTTCTTTGCGGTTTGCTGCTGCACCGCCAACAAAACGACGTTTTTCACGTTTTCTTAGGTTACCGATTTCACACTACACAGCAAAAAAATGGGGGGGACATTTGAAACTATACCATTTTTGAGAATTCAAAAAAATCAGTTCTCGTTCATATTTGCAATGGTTTAAAAAGCTATTAAGATAAATTTTATACATAATATCATTGTTTTAAAATTTGGACTAGTTGATATTTTCTAGCTAAAAACTTAGTCAATTTTTTTAAATTCTAACATCGTTAGTTTTTGTTAGCGAAAATAATTTAAAAGTATTAGCCTAATGTGCAAACATTTTTGTCTCAGTGCTTCTTTTGTGGTAACGGAAACCAATATTTGCGGTTGGCAACCAACTTTACCACCCGCCCTCTTTCTTTCCAGCGATATCAACCTGTTTTTGGTACGTTACTCGCCTATTATCGGTAATTAATATGCACGTCGGGCTGGCAAAACGTAATTTATCAATGAATTTGGGGCTTTATGTATGAGAAAACCGGTCCGTTGGTTGACAAATCAAATGATCCGCAAATCATGCAATTCAATTTTGCAGGCGGCGCCACAAGTTCACTTGGTTAATTGAATTTGTTGACCCACTGGCCGCACAACCAGAAAAGGAAAAAAAAAAAACCGAGGGGTATTATGGGTGCGATTCTGTTGGCGAAAGGGGGGCAACTACGGCTGTCAATCAAAAATAAAATCGCACTTTGCGCCTGGCGAGCGGAATCGGAATTGAAATTGGACTCTCGGGCTTGAAACCCAGCTCGGCGGAATTCCATTTCGTTTCGTTTTATTTGACAAAATGCCAACGCGTGGCAAAAGATCACCAGTGGCGTCCAGCGAGGGGGTTTCAAATTTACATTTTATTTTCTTTTTTCAATTCGAAGTTGAATTTTTGCATACTTTATTGATGTTTATTGATCTTTATCCCGAAACTCTTCTTAGACTAAACAAAAGTTTTTAATATTTATTGAATTATGCTTTTGAATTATTTTTAAAGTCATTGTTTTTATGGTCTTGGAATCTTTTCTTTCTATAAGTGTTTTCGGAACACCCCTCTAAACCGAGCCCCAAACCGGATATACCCTCAAATCAACATAAATTGGTTTGCATCTGGCTTTCTGATTTGAGCTTTGGTCACTTGATAGCTTCCGAAAAAATATAAAAAAAAATTCAAAAACTTTTGATTGATTCAGGTGTTGTGGGCGGTTCACTGAACGGCCAATTAGGTGGAATTGAATTAATTGGCGGCATCTGTTTGTGGCACACAGTTCGTTGACGCCCCACTGAGTTGGGTTGACTTAAGTTGAGTTGAGTCATGGCAATACATATATTGTTGACATAGCGACCGAGTGCCGAGTGCAGCTTTATCAGCGAAGCTTAGACTGCCACACAGACGGGGTATTATTTACTATATGCGTTTCGCCTTGTACTTGAAAGCGCCGTTCAATGACGTTCAAAACAGCCGATTTCATGTGCATAAAGTTAGCAGTACAACTTTCAAAATCTAAACTTTTTTTTTTACCATAATTTGCCGTTAATTATCCGTAAATTATTCGTGAAAGAAAAAAATTTGCCGCTCAATTTTTTTAAAAGTTATCCGATGTTCTGCTAACTTGATATCAAGTTAGCAGTACACAAAATTAAACTTTAACTTTTCGAAAAATTTCTTTTGCAGGAATTTGCCGTTAATTATCCGTAAATTATTCGTGAAAGAATAAAATTTGCCGCTCGTGTTTTAATATTTTTTTTTTAAAACAAACCCTGTGTTCTGCTAACTTGATATCAAGTTAGCAGAACACAGGGTTTGTTAAAAAAAAAATATTAAAACACGAGCGGCAAATTTTATTCTTTCACGAATAATTTACGGATAATTAACGGCAAATTCCTGCAAAAGAAATTTTTCGAAAAGTTAAAGTTTAGTTTTGTGTACTGCTAACTTGATATCAAGTTAGCAGAACACAGGGTTTGTTTTAAAAAAAATAGTAAAACACGAGCGGCAAATTTTATTCTTTCACGAATAATTTACGGATAATTAACGGCAAATTCCTGCAAAAGAAATTTTTCGAAAAGTTAAAGTTTAATTTTGTGTACTGCTAACTTGATATCAAGTTAGCAGAACATCGGATAACTTTTAAAAAAATTGAGCGGCAAATTTTTTTCTTTCACGAATAATTTACGGATAATTAACGGCAAATTATGGTAAAAAAAAAAGATTAGATTTTGAAAGTTGTACTGCTAACTTTATGCACATGCCGATTTCAATCGATAACATTGATCGGAAGTGCTCGTTCGTTAGTTTCTCAGGCTTAAGCGGATTAGCGGGATTGTTTATATGCTCTGTGTGGGGCTTTAAATCAAGTTCTATTTGTAATCTTTATAATTCCGATTTATTTTGCACTTTCCCCAGACTGCTTTTAATTCACACGATTACAGGCAGCGATACTTTGATAGATAACTAACGATAGCTTTTAATAAATATCGAAATTAATAAATACCAATTCGATTTTAAAGACTTTTGTTGTGTATAGATATAGATATTTTTATTACGTAATACTTAATGATGTGATCAAATAATCTTCTTATCTTTAAGTTCTTGAAAAGAAAAAATTGTTAAACCTTATAGATCAACCTGTTCACCTGTTCAACGGAACACAAATACTTGTTATTGCTTCTTTGTTGGACAATGTTTATTTGCAAGATCCAATTGTTTTGGGACAGAAAATATTACAGTCTGTCGAATAAATAAAATGTCTCCAATATTTACATGTTGATTGTACTGTTCTCAAATTGCAGGGTCTTATTTATTTAGGTCACTATTTGAAAACAAACGTTTGTTATTATGGCTACTTTGTTGGGATTTGTTTATTTGGAGGATCAAATTCCCTTGAGACAGAATATTTACAAGCTGTTCGTACGCTTAAGGAATGCTCGGGTCCTATTTATTTAGGTCACTATTTAATCTTATACTGTTGTATTATTGTGGATTTATTTAAAATCAATTAAAACTCAAAATACACTTTGTGTTATTCCCCTTTGTCAAAACTGGTTGCCTTTGTGTAAATATTGCTTTGGGTTCTTGAAATATATGGGAATTTCGAGTAACTAAATGTAAAGTCCCCCGAAAACAAAGCTTTCATGACTCACTCATCTCTTCTTGTTATGTTAAAAACGAAAAGCCCCCAAACTGATGCTCATGTTTTTCCTCGCTTGATCCCTTTTCTAGAAACTGCCTAATGTGGGAGCCTATGTCCGCATGATCGCCGCCGATGGGCGGAGCCTGCGCGACGTGCTGGCCGCCAAGGTGCCCCAGGAGCAGGAGCGCGTGAAGAACTTCCGCAAGCAGCATGGCGCCACCAAGATGGGCGAAACGACCATCGACATGATGTACGGCGGCATGCGCGGCATCAAGGCCCTGGTCACCGAGACCTCGGTGCTGGATGCGGACGAGGGCATCCGCTTCCGCGGCCTCTCCATTCCCGAGTGCCAAAAGGTGCTGCCGGCCGCCGATGGCGGCACCGAGCCGCTGCCCGAGGGCCTCTTCTGGCTGCTGCTGACCGGCGAGGTGCCCACCAAGTCCCAGGTGCAACAGTTGTCCCGCGAGTGGGCCGACCGAGCTGCCCTGCCCCAGCATGTGGTGACCATGTTGAACAACATGCCCACCACCCTGCACCCGATGTCGCAGTTCGCCGCCGCAGTGACCGCCCTGAATCACGACAGCAAGTTCGCCAAGGCCTACTCGGATGGTGTGCACAAGAGCAAGTACTGGGAGTACGTGTACGAGGACAGCATGGATCTGATTGCCAAGCTGCCCGTGGTGGCGGCCACCATCTACTGCAACACCTATCGCGGCGGCAAGGGTTCCCGTTCGATTGACTCCAGCCTGGATTGGTCCGCCAACTTTGTGAAGATGCTCGGCTATGACAACGCGCCCTTCACCGAGCTGATGCGTCTCTATCTGACCATCCACAGTGACCACGAGGGTGGCAACGTGTCCGCCCACACCGTTCACTTGGTGGGCTCGGCCCTCAGCGATCCCTACCTCTCCTTCGCCGCCGGCCTGAACGGTCTGGCCGGTCCCCTGCACGGATTGGCCAACCAGGAGGTGCTCGTGTGGCTGCGCAAGCTGCAGAAGGAGGCCGGCAACAACCCCTCGGAGGAGCAGCTCAAGGAGTACATCTGGAAGACCCTCAAGTCTGGACAGGTAAGGGCTTTTCAATGCGCATATGCATATACTTTTTTTCCTTGTAACCTGCAAAGTTGCTGTAAACGATGCAGCGGCTGCATAGACATATATTAAAATCCAAAAAATGGAGAGCTCATAATCACTTTGTTGAATGGAAAATATATGCACCAAATGCATCGCTTGCAATCAGCTTAAGTGTATGGTAATCTGCAAAACAACTGCAAAGTTGTTGCACCAGCTAATTGTAAACGATGCAGCGGTTGCCTAAATATATGACAATAAACCAAAGCATTTAAAGATCATAATCATCTTGTTGAATTGAAATTATAAGCAGCAAATGAACCGTTTACTAACAGCTCAAGTTTATAGTAATCTTATCTTAGGCATAATTATTAATTATTTACTTGTTGATTGACAATCTACAATCTAAAAATTCCCATGGTAATGGTTTTATTCCGAAGTATTACATCATGGAGTTTCATTTTCTAAATAAATTGCCTAAACTTAACCTAATTGTTTTCAAAGCTTACATAATTTGCTATGATTATAAGAACATATTTGTTTGATATTTTGTTTTACGTTGATTATTTGTGTTAATTAAAGATTTGTTTTTCATTGCTGCTTTTCACTTTATATAATTAAGAGCACAAAAATGATTATATGATGAGCAAACACAAGAAAACACAATTTCAAAACAAAAACAATGGCCATAAATTTAGCTATAGCTTATCTATATGTTCTTGTTGAGCATTTCTGTTGGCATGAATAACGTTGTATTTTTGGATACGCCTCTTTAAAAAGTGTGTTTTATGGTCAAAATAAATTTGGAACAGCTTTAAAATTGCTTTATATTTAAAATGTTGGTATAAAGTGCAAAAATATTGCAAATTAAATAATATTAAAATAAGCATTTTAAATACAAATGAAATACAAGCTGATCGTAATAAGATGATCAGTACAAAAACATATAGAAAGTCGACTGCAAAATGTCACATAATTGTTTTCGATTGTATAGGTTATATAGATAGATGTTGTTCATAATACTAAAACCAAATCGAATTGCTCACTTTTCAGGTGGTTCCCGGCTATGGACATGCCGTGCTCCGCAAGACCGATCCCCGCTACACCTGCCAGCGCGAGTTCGCGTTGAAGCACCTGCCCGAGGACGAGACGTTCCAGCTGGTGTCGAAGATCTACAAGGTGGTGCCCCCAATTCTGACCGAGACCGGCAAGGTGAAGAACCCCTGGCCCAATGTAGACGCCCATTCCGGTGTGCTGCTGCAGTACTACGGCATGAAGGAGATGAACTATTACACGGTTCTGTTCGGCGTGTCCCGCGCCCTCGGCGTCCTGGCCTCCCTCGTTTGGGATCGTGCCCTCGGCCTGCCCATCGAGCGCCCCAAGTCGTTCTCCACCGATCTGCTGGTCAAGATGGTCCAGAAGTAAGCCACAACACAGCTGGTCGTCGAGTGGAAGCTGGATTGGAGCTGGAGTTCAACCCTTTTATAGCCAGAGGATGTTGGATGGACGAAGGATGCAGAAGCTGTAGATTGTAATAGACGAGGGACGAGAAAGAGAGTAATGCAATTCGATTGGATTGGATGGGAATGGATTGAATTGGATTGGATTGGATTAGATCAGAATTGGATATCGATATGACGACGCTGATATTGAGAGAGTTGGATATGTGTAGTTGAGGAGAAGAGCAACCAAATACGAACCAATAGGACAAAATAAAAACCAGAAGAAAACTGCAACACACTGCAACCGCAAAACAATAAGTTGGAAATAAGGCAGAAACTTATTTTTAGTAGTAAAATAATTAACGAAAAGAAACCAACAAGCAAACACTTAAGTAATTGTATAAGCTATATATACGATTGACTATATATATAGGGACAGGCAGAGAGAGAAAAAATGTTTGCGCCTATTGTTTATGTTCAGCATTTCCCCACACCCACGCCCACGCCCAAAACAAACACCCAACCTCCCACGATCGCCCCACTCTTTATTTAGTTTGTTATGTTTTCATCTTGGCCGATCGACTAACCACGACCTTAACGCTTTATCCCCCAAAACGCCCGACCCACCAGCACCACCAACACACCCCCGCCTAAAAACCTAAAAAAAATTACTAACTTGATAACATTTTATTTTTAATTTAACTATAATTTATTATGCAAACAAGATACAAACGAGAAATACAATACAAAAACAAGTGTAAAGAAACCAACAAAAACAATTAAAAAAACTCAATAAAAAAACAGAACAATAAATAATATAATGCATAGAGAGTAGTTATTGCCAATTCCACCAGTGGAAGCTGCAAAAGCGTTCGTTCATTGCCGTGCAAGTGTATTCGAGAAAGCAACCCCACAATAAACCTTAGCAAACTTGAATCGAAGAGCGTATCGTATGTCCATTTTCAGAGCTAAAGGGTCGAAGAAAGGTGCACAGAGTTAAGATGGTGACGAATGCCCTGAATCGCAAGTCGAGTAATTGTCACTGCCAGTGTGACCGAAGTTGTGGCCCTGGCACTGCCGGTGTGACCAAAGCTACAAATGCTGCATGGACTAGTCAGTACAGTCACATAATTTCAATAGGTGACGAAAATGAATATATAAAAGTTTTCGGGCAATTTGTTTGAATACATTCTCAACTATGTTACCAGGGTAACGAATGTATCCGAGATCTCGCCGCTTGAAGGTCAGTTGTCACCAGACTCTTCTCTCAGATGTTGTTCATTATAACTGGAAATGTGCAAATTTATTATTAAACTAAGCAAATATACTCGGAATGAAATAAATTTAACATTTCCTCTACAATACCTCGAAAAAGCCTCTTATTTTGAAATAAATTTGGGCCACACCGAAATTTGAAATAATAAAACGAGCAATTTCAAAAATATTTGGAATTTTTAATTTGGTTTACACATGCATATATGGTTGGTTAATCGAATACGGGTGACATAAATAAATAAATGCAACATAAAATAACAAGATATGAAATACAAATAAATAAATAAAATAGTAGGTGGACTTCGCTGGTTTCGTGACTCTATAAAGACCTCTACTGGCATTGGTGGCAATCACACCGTGAAAAATAACAATATATGAAATACCAATAACTAAATAAAATAGGGGAATTATTATCGCTCGTTTCGTGGGTCTGTAAACACCTCTTCCGGCATTGGTGGCAATCCCACCGTGAACGTGGCATTACTACTACTGTTCAATGGGTCACCATTCCTGCACCGAACACAGGGTCCCAGAAGCCGGAGCATACGGCTGCCCAGGGTGGTCCTTTTCGTCCTGAAGTGGACATGCCCTTGTGCTTGGGACTGCGACATCGACTGCACCAGCAGCTGCGCCTGGCTATCGTTGATGCTTTGATTTTGGCTCGTATCCTGACTCTGGTTCTGGCTGAGATTGATGCGCAGCACCTCGATGATCCGGTTGTTGCGCTTGTCGAAGTAGTAGATGCCCTCGGAATCCGTCCGGTGACCCCACTGCCTGAAGGAGGTCCGCTCCTCCTCGCGGCCCTCCACCTCAATGGCCGAGTCGTTGCTGCTGGGCTGACTGGTCTCCGAGTTGTTGGGTGCCGGTCCCCTTCTGGCCAGGGTCCCAGATGAGGAGTCTCCTCGAGCCTCGCCTTTAACATGGAACGAAATAATGGCAAATAATTTAAATGATAAAAACCATAGTTGGTTATTAAAAAAGCAAGAGAAGTGTAAGTTTTGTTTATGGTAAAGAATTTCAAGAATAGACAGTAATTAAAATAAAAAAATATTAATTAAAGTATTGAATAACTTTATTAAATTAAAAATCCAACAACGTAAGCAGGTTCAAATAGAGTTTCTTTAGTGCTGAAGAATTCGCGGTTTGGTTTGTTAGTTAAGAGTATATGTACATGCAATCAAAGAAAAAATATGTTAACGACGCTTACATTGTTCGTTAATTATGACATAAATAAGAAATGTACTTGTTTAAAGAAAAGATGACTAGACCAAGCCTCACCGTTTCCGCCGCCATCAGCTTCTGTGCTGACGCTGCTGAAGTCCAGGGATTTGACCATTTCGCACCGGCTCGGATTCTGGGGGATTCGAACTGGGGGCGCCACACTGAGCAGGGCCATCTCAATGGAGCCATCGCTGCTATTGTAGGTGAGGTTGCCCACGGAATGCGGATGGGGCGTGGTCAGGGCCAGGCCATTTCCTGAGACGGAGGAGCAGATGGCCGGCAGTAGGAAGTCCGTTTGTGTGGCCTTTTCAATGCCCGCCGCCGGCCAGGAGTTCAAGGACCTCAACGAGTGGCTCTGGTGGCGCCTCAGCTTCTGCTGGCAATCGCTTAGCTCGGTGCGCAGTGTCTCGAAATTGTGCCTCATCTGAATCATATCGGCCATCTTCTTGTCCAGGCGCAGCTGCACGAAATCGTTGTATGCCTGGAGGCGCTTCTTATCCTGCTGCAGACTCTCAATTTCGGCCTGCATACGCTCATAGCTGCAGCTCGAATTGGTGTAGGATTGGGAGGAGTTATCCATCTTGGGCACCTCGTCCTCGTCCTCGACATCGAAGTGACCCCGGCCCTCGGCGCGTCGCGAATTTGGCGTCAGGTATTCCGGCATGGAGCTGTGCCGCTGGAAGCCCATGCCCGACGCACTGTGTCGCTTCTGATCCTGGGCAGCCATCTCCGCTATGTACTGGCCCACCTTGCTGGTCACGTGCTTGAAACGGCGCTTCGTGTACGCCGAGTGGATGTCCTGGTAGGACACCGCCTTGCTTTTCCGTCCGCTGCCAATTACGGCACATCCTGGAATCGAAATATAAAGTAATTATATTTTGACACTGAATTGTGAAACAGGGTATATTTAAAAACAATCGCTTAATGTAAAATATTTACAAGAAATCTGGCAAGAAATCACTGGGCTCAAAACTCATATCTGAATACAATTTTTTTTTTATAAATGTTTTATTGATTTGTCTATTATATTATGTTAAATCAAGATGAATTTGGCATTGAATTGTAAAGCAGGGCATATTCAAAAAGACTTTAAAATATTACAAATTTAAAATGTACTTAAAAAACTAGCTATATCTCGGCTACAAAATGACGTGTTAAATCATATTAAATACATTTTTTTCAGTGTTCATGATAATGATGATGAGTTATTTACCAAGCAAAAGGGGTATTGTTTAGGTCACTCACCTTCATCGGCATCATCATCATCCTCCTCATCCTCCTGGTCGCGGCCCGCAGGATCGCTTACACAAGTTTTGGCACTTTTATTGGCCACATCCGCATCCGCATCCGCGTAGCATATCTCCAAAAATGGCGCCGGATTGCGCTCGAATGCCGCCGGCTGATGGTGCTCAGAGAACCAGGGGCTCCTGGTGCCTGGGCCACTCACGTTGTTTAATTGGTCAAACAGTTCGTCTGCCGGAAAACTCTCGTCCTGAAGACTCATTGCCTGGCACACGAAACGGACAATAACAAAAAAAAAACAAAATAATTTAACACAAGACAAAAGCACAAAGTTTCGATGACTATTGAGTTCTAGTTTGAGCGGGAAAAGCGCCGTTACTTATTGGAAAATTGGAAAGTGCGCGGTGTGACCATAAAAAAAACCGTTTATCTCTAAAAACCAAAATATAAATGTTCGTGAAGGTAAAGAACTTCATATTACGATATGAATTTTTTAATTATATGTTTAAATATTTTTAAATTAAAAAACAATACATTTTTCGATTTTTCGATTCGTAAGGAAATATACTAAATGAAAAAAGGCAGAATGCGCTAACGCCTCATGCAAGGAGGCAGCAAAATAGTCGGCCACACTTGACGTTACATCATGTGCATTTTAAAAAGCAAAACTAACTAAATTTCGTCAAATCGCTTCAAAATCGCATTAAAAGCTCCATTATCGAGAGCAACAGGATTCCAACGGTCGAGCGGCGGAAATGTACGCCTATTGGAAGTTCGAGCAACGCTTTCCACGCATTTCCAACTGAAAACGCAGCAGCTGAGGTGCAAAAACAAATAAAAAGAAACCGGAGAGGAAAATAAATATAAATATAAAACAAATACAAATATGAGCGAGAGTGGCAACAATCAGGTTAGTTGACAGTGCGAGAGGGAGCGAGGGGAGGGGAAGAGACTAAACTTTATCAATTCGATTTACGCACACAAATGTGAGTTGTCAAAAAAACATTAGATTATATTGCTTTTTGCCTGTATTTGTTGCAGCGCAATTGGACCACGTGTGTGTGTGTGTGCAATTTGCGTTGCGGTATTTTACTTTTACCCAAAACAGTGCACCCTTGAAATAGTAAACATTTTAAACATTAAAAATAATATCATTTTTGAGCTCAATAAGCAAGTAAAGTAAAATCAATTAAATATTTAAAAACAATATATAATATTATTATCTATTCAAGATATTTGTTTTTAACTATTAAGTCCAACAAATGTCATATTGCAAATATGAACGTTCACCCCTTAAAGCGTGCACTGTATTATTCATTATGTTTTTCCTTTCATTTTGCCTTTGATGTCATAATTTTTCATTTGATTTCGTTTCAGTTTTGTGACGTTGATTTTTGAGCAAAGTCCCCAAAAAGCAAAAATACACAAAAAACAGATATTTGAGTTTTGAGTTTTTGGTGGAGGAGGAGCCAACCCGAATCCTTAACCTAGGCTGCATACCTTTTGTTTTGTATTGCAATTCTCTTCTTCCCCAAAACAAACCACAAAAAAATAAAAATAAAAAATACCAACCAAAACGAACGCATCTGCCATTAAACCAATCGAATCTTGAACTTGAACCGGATCCCGAAATGGCGGCCTACTTGAACCGCACCATCTCGCTGGTGACCGGGCAAACGGGTCCCGCCCACGACGACGACGACCGCCACGCCTCCTCGACGGACACGGTGGACAAATCCGGACCCGGATCCACCCTATCCCGGATCAAC